CAAAACATTGGTTTATTAATAACATTTTCGATTGAATGAGTAGCTTTAATGTTAGTCTTTGTCAAGAGTTGTCTAAGTCTTCCAATAACTTTACAAATTAAAAAACCCATAAAAACGTTATTACTATTGAAAGTGTTCTGTGGTAAAGTTTCTAACAAAAATATTATAACTATTAAACGTCACATTTATTTTTATATCTATTATAATGTCAACGTCTCGCTGTTAATTTTTACAAGCTTGTAGCTGTGAAATGTTTTAATGTCATACGTTACTTTTCTTTCTCAGACAGAAAATTAAAAAACTAAAATGTTCTACCCTCGCATTACAACGTAATCCAAAAACGCAGTTATAAACAACAAAGAAAGAAATGTAATTGTAATTCTATGGGGAAAAATAAAAATACTTTAATAAAGCACATAGAATTGCAACATTTTAACGATTTTTTTCTCTTTGTTATTACAATCAACAAAGATATCTTTTGAATGGATTGTGCAGTGTAATAAAGCAAGGTTATTATCTTCATGATTCATCCCTCTGAAATACCATTGTGATTCAAACAACTGAAATACTGATGAATGTCCATTGGTTAAACCTCTTCTCTCTTTTGTTGAAACTTGAATACAATTTCAGATAACAGTATTAGCTATACAAGAAAGTACCCAACAAGTAGGCCTACAATTAAATAAGTGAAATTATATATATATATATATATATATATATATATATATATATATATATATATATATATATATATATATATATATATGCTAGTTTTATTTTAGAGAGATTTTTGGAACCCTTAGGCATTCTTGAGTTTTAAATAAATATTAAGTTTACATACTGAAACATACACTTGTTTTAGAGTAAGGTTTAATTTTAATTTAAAAAAAACATATTTTTGTTCCTACATGTTGCGCGTTTAAAGCCTACACTAATGGATTTGTTGATGGAATTTGTTTCTTTGGCTGTAAACAAGACCTCATTTTTTAAGTTAAATCAGTTGGCACCAAAAGTTTTACTCACTCAACATTTAGTTTACTATTTGAATGTCGTATTAATGAGTGCGTTGAGTATTTTTGGAATTCTGGGAAATTTCTTCACCATAATGGAGGCGTCACGCCAGGGACTCCGTGACTCCACCAACATTATCGTAGCGTCACTGTCTGTCACGAGTCTAGCCTTCTCTGCCACTGGGATACAATGTAATCTACTTGTAGTCTGTGCTCGGCATTGCTACACGGTCTTTGCCAGCACAATAATCGAATACCTCAGCATCGTTATTGTTCTAAATCGATTTGCAATTGTAGCTAGTTTTAACCAAGTGGCTTTAATAGCTGTGGAGAGAATAATCGTTGTCTGGGGCTGTTCGAGTTGTATCACAGCGACACGGATCAAGATTCTGCTAGTTTTGTCAATATTTTATTCGGTTGTGGTGTGTTTGTTGGAAAACAAATACATTGAAGTTTACTTCTATAAATACATTTTTAATTTTGATGTCACCATAGACTTAAAAATGCTAAGCACCATATCAAGGTGCTTTAATCTAAACCGGTTTATTCTTACATCATCTGTTCCTTTCGTCATCATCATTGTTTGTACGATCATGATTTTGATGAAACATTTTGTATCAATCCGAAAAATTTCTAAAAACAGAACATCGTCTGTATCGAAGAAAATGAAAGATCTGAAAGTGATTCGGATGTTCGTCACCGTCTGCGTTGTCTATGTCGTCATCGTGGTTCCTGCCAAACTCCTGCAAGAGTTTTACATCCTGAACACTAAGACACTGAACCAAATTGACGTCATGCTTTGTGTCATAACGTCCATAGTTTATGAACTTGATGCCTCGGTTAATTTTTTAATCTACCTAACTATGAAGTCTCAATTGAAAAAACGCATCCACATGTAATAAAGCACTTTCTTTTTCTTCTTCTTCGTGATCCTCCTCCAACACAATTAAGTATTCGACGTGTCAACTGGTTATGCGCCATTGAGGCAATTGATTCTGATTTCAGCCTGCTCTTCTTAATTTAAAAAAAAATGGTTTACTGTTAGTTAACGAAACCAGTATTTTCAATGACTGTAAAAAGAAATGAAAGTAAAAATGAGAGAAATAATTAAGAAACAAAAACAATAAAAACTAGAGTTTTAGAAAATTAAGACTTAGAATGAAAGTAAGAGGTCATTCTGTGGGTTTGTCTTTTATGGTGTGCAAAACTTTTTATCCCATCGTCATGAAGCTTTGTGGAACTGTGAAGAATACGTCTGGGAAATTTTCTGAGAAAGAAAGCAATTTAAAGACAATGGGCTGCGTTTGGCGTGCCTATTTGGAGCAGTGGCGTAGCGAGGTCGGGTGTCACCCGGTGCGGTCCGCACCCCCCGCCCCCCCCCCCCCTCGCTACGCCTCTGATTTGGAGTACCCCAGGAATGTTAGAACTCCAAAAAAGGTATTTTTTTCCAAGATCACCACTCAGAAGAGTGCCTGGTACATACAAATGTTTTCCATTAAGTACTCTAACTTATACATACAAAAATAAATTAAAAAAGGCTTATTGATTAAAAATGTGTTTTCCACGTTGTTTTTTTCCGGAGCCAACCCCTCAATAAATCAGTTAAAAAATTATTTAAAAAAACACGGTAAGTCGTCTAAAAATATACGATTGGTAAAGATTTTGATGAAAACCTTTTAAAACCTAGCACCAGCTTTTGTTCTGAGATTGTAACACCAGGCGACTGACACGCTGGTCAAGAATAAAATAGCCTCCTACAAATCTACGTATTAAACAAATGCATAAAAAAGTTTCAGTAACAAGCTTTTATGTCGTAAAAATATTTGCTTTAAAACACTAAGAAGAGAATTATATATATAGATATTTTCAGTGGCAGCATTGGTACTGTCGAATTCACAAATTATGAATTACTGAAAAGTCGAAAATAAAACAACTAAATAGCGGCGGGTCGGCTCGTATATAATATTACAAATAAAAATCTTGTTCGCTTCTTAAATTCTAGAACTCTTTAAGACCGTAACGACGCTCCCAGCGGTCGGTCTGCCGGCCTGCCATACCGTAACGACGCTCCCAGCGTTCGATAAAATTTTCTCTATTTAATTTGTTGATTTTTAGAATCCAAGTTTTAAATCGTAAATTTAGGTCATGATGATGCTAGAGCGGCCATTTTTTGTTGTATATACTTCTTGTAGTTTTCTCGTTAGATCGATTTTGTATTTTATAGATATGTTTATGGAAAACAAGTCGAAAAACGGCATTTTTTAACACTGCGGAATGCCGTTCAGCGGCCGCGATTAAACGTTGACGTCGCCGCATTATAAAATTAACTAAAATTAAAGTATTTGTACAAAGACTAATCCGATCCATGATTTTTTGTAGGAAAATTGACGTCCTTTCGTTTTCTATAAATAAGAACTCATGAAAACGAATTCATATTATTAATTTTTCCGATAGAAGCGTAATTTTAGCCCGAAAAAATCAACTCTTTATTTTTTCTTCTTTAAAACTAAGTAATTATCCTTCTTCAATAAATAAATAATAACTTAAATTGTATATCAGTGTGTATGGCATTCAATTACGATTAATTTTTATCAATAATATGTGAGGTTTAAATCAACGGGTAAAAAGATATGGGTCATTTATGTAAGCCCTGCTGGGGGGGGGGGGATGACTACACTATCTACCCTTCCCTAAGCTTAACTAATAACTGTCCGGTCAGTGCAACCGTGGTAAAACCCACGGCGGTTAAACCCTAACCTTAGTCTAGATAAAATCACAAAAAAAACTTTAACAATTTAATAAAATTTATTTAACTGAAATGGAACCAATAATAAAAAACGTAAACATTAAGTCAAATTCAAAACATCTTAATCCAATACTAAACAAACACTAACAAACAAAACACAACGTTTAATGGAATATTATGTACATTCGATGCCTCTGATAGTCTAGGCTCTGAACACACAGACAATCTTCATATTCCATATTTACAGCAACCTAAAACTCGAGGCAAACTAAAATATACTAAGTACTGTCTCGGACACCCACAACAAAATTACTTGTGACTGAGCCCAACTTAGTCATCGTGGGGAACCCACAATATCAATACACAAGGTTTTAGAAAATACCAAAATACCAAAAAAGAATACATAACGTGTGTAACAGACCTGCCGACTTACACTGTCTCGTTTTAGACGAAAAAGAGAGAAAACGAGAAACATCGGCAGTCGCTTTCATATCAATCACAAATATACAAAATATTTAACAAAACCAATACCTTCACGCACCTCTAAGATCCTATACTTGGATTATTTTTCAAGTCTGTGTTACCTCCGATAAGCTCAATTGGTATTTTACTCTATTATCCATTTTCTAAAATCCTTTCATCCCGTTTTAATTTTGTTGAACGAAATTTTTATATAGGCCTATGGGTATATGTAAGTAATTAAGTAAAGCTCCCCTACCAAACCTGAAGGTCTTTGTGGCAAGTGAAGTAGAGTTCACCTCTTTCTGTGACCTCAGCATATGAACAGATAGTGTGGTCAGAACTATGCCCAGCGGCTTTTACTTTTCCTAACGTGAGTCAGGTACCCATCAGAGCTGGGTTGACTCAGAAACGTCCAACAGGCTCGACCCAATGATTTGACCTGGAGACTACCCCGTAAACAGTCGTAAGCTCCACCACCTGACTACGCCGTCACTCTTTATATTTAATTCTTCCTAAATAAATTATAAATTTAATTATTAGTCTGTTTATATATTATTGGCCTGTTAATTCAGATCTACCCAGCGTAGCAGTCAGCATTGATCGAAATAAAAGAGTATCTTTATTTTGATAAACCTGAAGCTAAGCAAACCTTTCATGTCATTAGTATTTAAAATTTATTGTTAAATGTACTGACATTAAAAGTTGGGTTATGATTAAACAATGAAAAACCTGTTCTTGTAACATCGTTAAACACAACAAGAGACGCTGATGATGAAGCAACTTTATTCAATTGCTAATTGAATTTAGTGAATAAAAGTAGAAGAAATTATTGTGTGCTGAGTGACAAATATTTTTGATTTTAAATAAGTAATTCAATTTTAAAACGTCCAAAAAATGTAAAATTACAATTTTAATCGGTGTAGAATATAGACTTTAGATGTTTCAACACAAATGTAGTTAATGATGATTCTATCTTTATGTAGACGGCATTTCACAATTCATTGCTGTTGAAAAAAAGTAATTAAATCATTAAAAAAACAACACTGTAGGTTTTAATAGTTATGTCTATAATTAAAAGACTTAATTTGCTGTTTCTTATGTTTCGAATCAACTCCATTAATTTAATCATCACCACAGCAAAGATTTCTTCTTAGATTATCGACATATTTACAATATAATTTCTAATCCGCTACATGAGAGTGTACTACCGTTTTTTTTTTATTAATATTGATTTGTTTTCACTCTCACCCATGGTTTATATTGTCGAACTACGTTTTCAATAATATATAGAATTGAACATATATTGAAATATTTATTATAATGTTATATGCTTTTTATTCATGAATTTAATAAAATTACGGAATTCATGTCTATTACCCACCATTCACACACCATGTTCGTCTAAATATTTTAGGCAAATAAAGTACTGATAATTTATGACCTTATTTTTTGTAACGTTAATACTATGCTTAGTAACATACAGATTCACAAAGTACAATAACCATTAATTTTAAGTCAAAACATTTGCACGAGAAGTATACGATTGTGTACGCAAGAAAATGTGCACATCACACAATACTTTAATTGAAACACTTGAACTCAGTAACGTGACTAGGTGAGGGGTGAGGTACGCACCCGGATTACATAATTTAAGGGGCAACACAAAATTCGAAAAATGATAAAATTTCAATAACAAAAATGTTTTATCTAGTTAAATCTGTAAAAAAGCATTGAGAGACGGGAATCACCAAACAGAATATGCAACATTACTGGAGGAAAGTGTGTGTGTGTGTGGGGGGGGGGGGGAGGGGTCGATAGCTTTAATTACCGCACGGGAAACACCTAACCTAATGACGGTGTGCTTACACTTAAATGTACGGTTACTGCCCACACTGTGATGGTGGTGTAAGGCAGCAGGCTAGTGAGTTGTCATTAAATAATAATCAGTATATTAGTATCATTTATAAAATATAATGCCATGTTCAATTTTCTTCCTCAGCTTTTATAAGACGTTTTTATTATATTGGAAAAAAATGGTTTATAACCTTGGTTGTATAAACCACTATAAACCACTGCACAACCTTTTCTAACCAGTCTGTGCGTAAGGCTATAGAGTATATAACGGCTTATAAAATGACAGTGTGGTCATTTCTATACACAGCCGATTGTACTTTTTCTAACGTGAAGAATTTAGCCATCAGATATGGGGGCCTCACGGATTCGATCGCGGGATTCGATCTCGACTCTCGGATTAGTATTTTGTGCTCTACAGTCCGACCCAGATGTCTGATATATGATTTAAAAAGAAAAAAATAAATGGTCACAATAGCATTAGAGTCGAAATACTTCCAGTACAACTTGCAAGAACACAACCGATTGGAAGGGCAAATCAAACTGAACGTATTGATACATAGCACATAGCGATTGTCGAAGAAATAAAACAGTTAAGGTTTTGGTATGTGGATATTTTACTTAAACTTACTTGCAAGAAGAGTGCCACGTTTTAAACTTTCCTACAACGTTTTCCTATAACATATTAAAGGTAATTATTTTAATGCAAATTTTTGTTAAAAATCATAGATTTGATATATATTTTAGTAGTTTTAACGTAGTTAATTATATAATTAAAATGCAATTAATTAATTACTTGTCGCTTTAATGGTAGTAGCAGGTGGAGTTGTTGTATCTTGGGTGGTTGTCTCTTGGGTGGTTGTCTCTTGGGTGGTTGTCTCTTTGGTGGTTGTCTCTTTGGTGGTTGTCTCTTTGGTGGTTGTCTCTTGGGTTGTTGTCTCTTGGGTGGTTGTCTCTTGGGTGGTTGTCTCGTGGGTGGTTGTCGTTGGTTCAGCTAAAGAGTGAGATTTTAAAATTATACTGATCTCACTGTAAAATGAAATAGTACACTAAAACACTTGCAACCATAAATTTCTTGTTCTCAGCCTTCTGATAATGTTTATATTTTTTAATAATTTGATCAAAATTAATATAAGCGTTGGACTACATGCTGAACACTAACAACAACATGGTGATGAGTATGCGTATTTTCTATCATGGTAAGTAATTTATCTTTTATATTTCCATAAAATAAAGCGGGAGTTATATCCCTTAAACTTTCTCGTATATTCTTATATAATAGTAAGGGTGCAAAAGATTTTTTTTCCAAAATATAATAGTATAGAGTAGGAAAGATAACTAAGCACCAAAAGGAACGCAAAACAATGAGTGCATAATTGAGAGGAAAATCATTGAGGAATCCAGTTGCAACACCTGCTAAGAAGCTGAAGACTGATTCTGAAAAAAATACACTTTTTAAAAATCATCACTAAATGTTTAGCTACAGATTCTGGATTTAGCTATTTTAACAGAATGCCTTTAAGTAAGTCATTTTGGAACAAACAAAATTAAATTAAAGAAAATTTCAGCCTTTGATAATGAAGGACGAAGTTTTTACTTAGCAGGTTTTGAAAGTGTTTCAAGTACTTAGCAGGTTTTGACAATTGTTAAAATACTTAGCAGGTTTCGACAGTGGTTTAAATACTTAGCAGGTTAGGGAAATAGTTTATTGGCAATTGAATATTAGCTTTAATGCTTAGTTTTGACAGACAATGCGGAGAGTTCAATCCTTGCAAGTGGGTCGTATTTTTAACGTATTTTTAAGTAAAACATCGCTTACGTGGTCGTTATTTAGACGACGGAAATAGAGTAAAGTACCTCTCCCGTTTATTGGATGACAATCAAAGTAATCCAAGTATAAGATCTTATACTTATATATGAAATGTCGTCTACCTAACTAAAAAGTAGTCAGGTTATTGTGTTAACACGGAAGTAAAGTAAGTACCAATTACAGTTACTAGAAATCGCTCAAATGTTGATACAGAACTACGATTTCGATATAATACTTATATACACAATTTCGCCAACCTAACTGAAACGGTAGGTCTACTCAAGCTATCGTGTTCAAAGACACGGACAAAATAACAAAATAAAGTTTTTTCCGTACCGGAAGGCTGTATGTAAATCGTCACAATTTATCACAATCTCGATTTTGATTTTTTTTCCATGATTACAAAACATTCTTTATATTTCGTATACTATAAAGTAAAGAGATATTAACGGCAAAAATTGACAAAATTTCATGTTATTTTTGGGCACGATTAATATACTTCCTCTATGCTCTATGTAGGCTACGGGAAATTGAAAATGTTTGTACTTTCTTTAGTGCTCTAAAATTAACATTACTTTAATATTTTGAAAAAAAAATGTAAGTTCTTAATTTGCCAAAGAATTCTTACGTATTTTGCATCGGACCATTGCTTCTGTATTCTGCGTAGAGTTTATGTCGATCGCATTTCCTTGTAAAATCCGTGTTGTGCATGAGCCACTGTTGTATGAATACCCAAGGCATTTGGGGTTGTTTGAACAGCTCTGAAAACATCCCTAAGTCGACAAAGAGGAAATACAAATATGAAATCAGCTGTAACAAACTGCTTCATATAGCAATAAGAGCGAATAGGCAAACTGAAACCTTAATCCAATGTCTGTCATGAGTGTTCAGCTACTTTTATCTATTAAAAATACTTAAACTATTGTAATAATCCATAATTCTTTTTTATAAATAGTTAATTTACGTGTTTTATTTTTGTCCCTTCTGTTTCTGTGAGTTTTGTGTTTACTTATACATTTACATACTTGGTGACTAAATGTTTTAGTACCCTCGTATGATATTGAAGCTAATTAGTGTAAATGCTTATGATTTTCAAACTATATGGGATAATCCTAAAGTAAATGTATTGACCGTTATTCTGGCACTAATCGCAATATATATTTTAGCACGGCAGAGAATAATTAGGCGCTGGATGAAGACTTCGAATAAATTCAAAGCTTATTGTTCAAGGCATTTAAAGACATTACTTTCACTCAACTGAATAAACCGGGAGTGATCTCCCATAAACTTTCTCGAATATTGTTATATAACACTACGAGGTAGGCAACTCGGGATAATAACAATGCGTGTATAATAGTGCTGAATATTAGTACTTTATAAAAACATGTATTTTTTGAAGAATCGGAAATAGCTTAAAGTAATACTTCTGGTCACCGGAAATTATTCAAAATTTAATAGAAGGCAGAGAATTAGATCTTTTACTGGAAATCGCTGTTAAGTTGATACAGAACTACAACTTTGATATAATACTTATTTATGAAATTTCAGCAACCTAGCTGTAAGGGTGCTCAGGTTATCGTGTTCACAGACATAAACTCACACACAGACACACATACACACACAGACATACGGAAAACATTGCAAAACTAAGGTGTAAAGCAACAAGATATTTGACAATCTCGATTTTGATTTTTTGAATTACTACAATACTTTATCTATACTTCGGTTACGAGAAATTAAAAAAGTATACATAAATAAAAGTAACATAAAATAAACCGGGAGTGATCTCCCCTAAACTTTCTCTAATATTCTAATATAACACTACGAGGGATGGCAACTCAGGACATTGACATGATTTTTAAAAATACTTTAAATACTTAAACTTTTTAAAATAGAATACAATCTCGTGGAAAAAGAATTGCATACCAAGTGAACGCCCAATAAAATGTGCATAATAGTGCGCAATATTATTAGTAATTTATAAATTTACATTACTTTTTTGAGAAATCGGAAATTGCGTAAATTACTACTTCCGGTCAACGGAAATTACTCAAAATTTGTCAGATGTTGGAGAATTAGATCTTTTACTTACATGTGAAATTTCATTTAACTATTTGAAATATTACTCAAGTTATAGGCTTTTGAAAAATTCAAAGTAGAAAAAGTACCACTTCCGGTTATCGGAAATCGCTCAAAAGTTGATATGGATCTACGATTTGGATAAAATACCTATATATGAAATGTCAGCAACTTAGCTGTAACGGTACTCAAGTTATCGTGTTTACATACACACACACACATACACACTCACACACACAGACATACGGACAAGATTGCAAAACTATGTTTTTCCGACTCAGGAAGGTGTAAAACGTCGAGATTTGCAAATATCTCGATTTTTTTTTTTGCACGATTACAAGACTTTCTCTATACTTTGTATACACAAGAAAGTAAAAAGCAAACACAATCTCTTGTACTAAAATTGAATTTTACTCCAAATCAATAAAGTAGGCCTGTATTGTGCAATTAGTAGCCTAAACGACAATAACTTACTGGAAAAATAATTAATGGACAAGACTTACGGCGTGATTAGTACTTAATGGGCTTGCTGCTTTGAAGGAAAGATATGCTGAACAGTGTGCTAGGAAAAAAATGTATATACAAATATAAAGTTATCTAAACACATTCGTTCATGTTATAAATGGCTATCGATAGGCTAGTCGGCACAGAGGCAAAGTCAAGGAGTAAGCCACGGACTACGATACAAAGGCACTGGCATCAGCTCACCACACCGTTCACCACAAAACAGGCGGAAAAATAATCATAGACTTAGGTGTAGGTGCTGGCGTAGGCAGAGGCGTAGCGAGGTGGGCGGGTGGGGGGTGCGACCGCACCGGGTGACATCATCTAGGGGGGTGACACCAAGGCAAAAAATAGCAAAATATATAGAGAAAAATTTGAGGGGGGGTCAAATCGAAAGTTTGCAAGTTTGTCCCCGTGAAGGGTCGCTACGCCTCTGGTGAGTGACACCAGTAAGTGTCCGCACCGGGTGACACCCGACCTCGCTACGCCACTGGGCTTAGGTATAGTCGTAGGTGTAATTGAGGCATAAATGTAGACGCATGTTTGCGTAGGTTTCGAAGAGGCGAAGTTGTTGGCGTAGGTTTAGAAGAGGCGTAGATGTTGGCGTAGGCATAGAGGAGGCAGGGATGTTGGCGTAGGTATAGATGAGGCGTAGATGTTGGCGTAGGTTTAGAAGAGGTTTATATGTCCAATGTTGGCGTAGGCATAGGCATAGATGTAAGAAGAGGTGACGACGCAGATGTTGACATAGATATAAGCGTAAGTGTTGGCGGAGGCATAGACTTAGGTAGAAGCATTTTTAATAGTATCATTTCGAATAATTTTTTTTAAAGCTTATAAATTATATTCATACATTTAATAAAATAATTTATTAGATAACACTTTAGATAAAGAGGTAATTGCGTTTTACATACACATATCATTAGAACAAATCACAGTCCCCGAAGACCATTTATCTGCAGATGTATCAATTGGTACTGCCAGTACTGTGATTGTACAGTTACCGTTGTAGCTATAGTGATAGCATTTGGCTGCTTCTACACATGCCGAGAAACAATCCTAAAATATTGTATAAATAAAAGCGTTTATCAATAATAATTAAAAATAAGATATATTAGAACCTATATATATATATATATATATATATATATATATATATATATATATATATATATATATATATATATATATATATATATGTTGTAAAACAAATTTCATTTTTCAAAGTTATGGTAATAATTTAAAAATGTATCACATTTCACAAAATCTCTAATTATTTACACTTAGTTCTTTAGCACTCTTTACATCCCTTAATAAATTAGGGAAAAACAGTTACTTCCCTTTATAAAAACATTACATTGGGAGGAAAAAATGTACCTTTTATTACATTGTTTTGGTGTTGAAAAAAAACCACATAATTAGCGTTGATTGATTAAGTGAAATATGGTAGGTATTGTAAATACTGTCTTTTACTTATTTTGTACACCGAACGTACTGTTTTCTTATTATTATTTTTAATCAAAGACAGTTGAAGTAACATTCGGGAACGGAATTCCCGCAAGTTATTGTGCTTTTTTCTTTTGCGCACAATAGGGAATTCGTTTTTGTCTGTGTAGTAAACAGGAAAAACGTCGATCGTCTTTTTTTTTACCTTACCACCGTGCGCACCTTTTGTAAGCAGACGTTTTGACAGTACATTTAGCAGAGTAAAGTTTTCACGCTTGTAAAGGCAAGATCGAAAAAAATTCTTTTTAGGAGCTATTTTTATGTTTTATAGCTTCAATGTTTTCATTACATGACGTTCTCAAAAATTAATAACAGTTAAGACGCCAGCTCCTAAATTTCCTCTAATACGTCTTTCCGTTTGCAAATAAGCTTAGAGTATTGTAACTGTTTACTAAATTGAAACATGCGCGTCCTTCGGCGCCCCGGCAGGATTCGATTTGGCCCCCTGGGCTTTCCTAAGAGCGCTATGGTGCATAATTTCGATTTGAACAGTGCGATAGACTATGGATAAGAAAGGTTACTATAGTCTTTAAGTGATTCAAATCCGCGCTTCCTCCGGCGCCACAACAGGGTGCTATTTGGCGCACCGGCTTTCCCGTGTTCGCTAAGACGCCTACGTTCGTTTAAAGTGAGTGCAAAAGACTATGAATAAATTGGGGTACTATAGTCGTTTACTAAGCTGAAACAGGCGGTTCCGCCGGCGCCCCAGCATGGCGCGATTTGGCGCCCTGGTCTAGACTGTGAGCACTTTGCGTTTATGTTTGCGTTTGTATTTTCTTTGTGTAAATTATAAATCTGTAAGAACAAAGAAATGTGTATTCATAATAGTATGTAATAGTATGTAAGCAACCAGATTCAGCCCCCCCCCCCCGGAATTTTAGTCCGCCCCCGAAAATTTCAAGTGCCCCCCCCCCACCCGGAGAAAAAAAGTATGGAAGAAACACTGTATGTAAGTACATTATTACGTTAGCTACTTTATCAGCGGAGTCAATGGAGTTAGTAGGTCAGGGTAGAGAATCGACGTCTAAGATTAGCCTTCTACACTGTGTTAACTGGCCTTGGGCAAGTTGAGTTCTGTAACAGTTAGGTTTTCTTTGGTGACGTAATTATACATTCAAACTAACGCTATTCTTTTCTTAGTTATATTTCAGTTTGTTTTATTTAATCAATTCAAGTTGCTTTTTTTTCAGCCCCTACGTAACTTATAGTTATTAGATTTAATCTATCCAAGAAAAAATATCAGTTAAGTTGTGGTTAGTTTAATTAAACTAGAAGAGAGATACTTACCTTTTGCGAACCAACAGTAACGGTATAAGATGTAAATGGGTTGAAACCGTAAGCGACACAACCGTCTGAAACACAACGAAATACTAGTCCTCGCCTAAAATATTCCTAAACATATCTAAACAATTTTCACCTAAACTCGGTCGAAAGTTTTTGACGATTATTACCCCCCCCCTAACTCTTTTCCACTAGTTACAAAACTATACAACTCCCCTGATATGACATCAGCCCACAACCCATACCAACATTTTCTGAACTTCCATTTCTTTTCTAACTTATAACTTTTGTTTTAGCTTAATAAGGAACTTTTATTTGCCCTATGTAACGACGGTCCTAAAGAATAAAATATCCGGGGTGTGTCCCCACTAATGCTAAGAACGGGTCATAAATATAGACGTCTCTCTCTCTCTCTCTCTCTCTCTCTCTCTCTCTCTTTATATATATATATATATATATATATATATATATATATATATATATATATATATATATAAATATATATATATTTGTTTGGAAATTTCTTTTTGCACATCTATGTTACCCACCTTGAGCATGGCATGTACTGAAAAATAACATCATAACAATGATTTGGGTAACTGCGACTGTGGCCATGTTTGAAGAGTCTGGATGTTTTTTTCTTTCTGCAGGTTTTAATAGATTAATGTAAAATAACGTTTAATCTAAAAAAAATTCAAATACACACACACACACACACACACACACATATATATATATATATATATATATATATATATATATATATATATATATATATATATATATATATATAAATATATATATATATATATATATATATATATATATATATACATATACACTACACGACGTAGTTTATAGTTCAGAAATGCTCTGTCGACTGGGCTGCACAAAACATACCAATATCCCATTATGCCAACCTTATCATTTATAGTCGTTTATCCAAAAATGAATTTCTGTTCCTAGACCCATACTCCCGCCCAGTTCTTATGGGATATTTATGTATGACGTCCATGTGGGATGGTAGAGGGGAGGGGGGGGGGGGGGTGCCATAGTGAACTCGAGCTTTGTCGACGCTTGCAGAAGGGGGGTTCGCAGAAACCTCTCAAGAAATATTTCCAACAACTACCCAAAGTTTCACGGCGATGTAATGAAAGGTGTAGTAATGCATAAAAGACTGACAAAAGAAACACACACACATACATTGCTTTATTTATATATATATATATACGAGAAAAATGGCCCGTTGAGGAAGGATACAACGGGCGCTAGGCTGATAGAACTGTCTCTTTTCTGTAAACTAAAACCACCCCACCCCCCCACACACACCACCCCCCACCCCCACCCCCCCCCCCACCCCCCCAAAAAAACATGTCTACCGTCCCATTCAACGAAATATAATTATATACTTTTTCCAGTGTCCGCCCCCTCCCCGAAAATTCTACCCCCGCCCCCGAAAATTCAAAGTACCCCCACCCCTCTCCGGGGAGGAAAAAGTCTGAAAGAAACACTGGTGTCGCGCTTAGCCACTACCCGAAGAATTGCATTAAAGAAATTGCAAGAAAACCCCTTTTTAGATTAGACACATTAATTAGGCGGTAATTTTATTATAGAGTATCGATGAGGAAATTTCTTTTGAGTTGGGGCGGGGGGATGGGCTCAGACGTTCTTACTCGGGGGTGGGGCTTCGCCCCTACCCGAAGAATGGTATGAAAGAATTGTATGAAAGAAACTCTTCACGCAAACCACTTAGATTAGACAAAATTTCCTTTTTATTCAATGTTTACTCGAGAATCAATGACGTCATATTACTGTGTGCACTCTCCGGCTTGAGATTATTTTCTACTCTATGCTAAATGTGACGACGTCATACTTCGTTTTTACGAATTACTATGCATGTTTTTAATTTCCTTGTGTTTTCTCTAGAGCGTTCTTGTCAGATAGACAGACAGAGCGTTCTTGTCAGATACATACACAGACAGCGAAACTATTAGTATTATATATATATATATATATATATATATATATATATATATATATATATATATATATATATATATATATATATATATATATATATATATATATATATATATATATATATATTACATGCAAACAATTTCAATTAATGTTTAGTTTGTAATTATGAAAACAAAACTACCAGCTCTAGAGTAAATGTTTACTAACTAACTTTAACTTAGACTTGTAGTCGAGAAAATGTATATCTTGTACAAACAAAACGGACTTACCAAAAAGAAAGGAATGAATCAAACTATTGCAGACGGTAAGGCCAGAAGTTATAATACAGAATACTTCATAAGTTGGGAACAACGAAGAAGACAATTAAAACTGTTCCAAAAATAAAACACTTAAAAAAAATAATCCAGAGGTATGTATGATTCTTCAAAAAATATTGTGAAGGACACCCTTTCAGATTTTATAGAAAGTAAACATGACAAAGTATTACAGATATCCAATAACATACACATAATGCTTGTATCTGCTAATGAATTATATTTTTCTGTAAGTTTTATATGTAGTAAGTTTACGTATCATAAGAAAACTGTACGCGCCTATGATAATATTCCGAAAAAAAAAACCACCAGTCGTAAACAGCATTCATCATAATGACATAACGACAGCGGCTAGCCACACCAGACAGCCCGCTCTGTATTACAACTTCTACAACAAATGGGGGGGGGGGGCAGCCATTTAGGGCCTATGAATGACATCGTTTCAGGCCTCGCTATTAAGAAATTCCGATTTACGAAATGGCTTTTAAAAAATAATTTATTATATTTTTAAAAATTATTTAATAAGCAATGTATTATTTTCTTCTTTTTAGTGCATTTGTAAAAGCTTGTAATTATAAACGTTTTTATGTATTTATTATTCTTTCACTGAGACCACACTTAGTAAAAGCTTTTGAATAGAACGAAGAACATCATCGTGTTGTCCCAAAGTGGCGTCGCACTGCTGGGGTGAAGGTAAGTGTAAAATTCTTTGACGTCAATAATTTAAATAAACGGTTAGACGGCTAGACGGAGTTGCATATTTTGTTCAGATGGACGGATAGATAGATTGACGTAATGATGGAAAGGAGGATGGATGGATGGATGGATGGATGGATGGATGGATGGATGGATGGATGGATGGATGGATGGATGGATGGATGGATGGATGGATGGATGGATGGATGGATGGATGGATGGATGGATGGATGGATGGATGGATGGATGGATGGATGGATGGATGGATGGATGGATGGATGGATGGATGGATGGATGGATGGATGGATGGATGGATGGATGGATGGATGGATGGATGGATGGATGGATGGATGGATGGATGGATGGATGGATGGATGGATGGATGGATGGATGGATGGATGGATGGATGGATGGATGGATGGATGGATGGATGGATGGATGGATGGATGGATGGATGGATGGATGGATGGATGGATGGATGGATGGATGGATGGATGGATGGATGGATGGATGGATGGATGGATGGATGGATGGATGGATGGATGGATGGATGGATGGATGGATGGATGGATGGATGGATGGATGGATGGATGGATGGATGGATGGATGGATGGATGGATGGATGGATGGATGGATGGATGGATGGATGGATGGATGGATGGATGGATGGATGGATGGATGGATGGATGGATGGATGGATGGATGGATGGATGGATGGATGGATGGATGGATGGATGGATGGATGGATGGATGGATGGATGGATGGATGGATGGATGGATGGATGGATGGATGGATGGATGGATGGATGGATGGATGGATGGATGGATGGATGGATGGATGGATGGATGGATGGATGGATGGATGGATGGATGGATGGATGGATGGATGGATGGATGGATGGATGGATGGATGGATGGATGGATGGATGGATGGATGGATGGATGGATGGATGGATGGATGGATGGATGGATGGATGGATGGATGGATGGATGGATGGATGGATGGATGGATGGATGGATGGTTTTAGCTCTACTTCTCCTGCCCCATGGATTGTCAAGCTCGACAGATACAGACATTTTTAAAAACTAAAACAAGGTGTGTCAATTTTTTTAAAAATTGGTTTAATTTGTTTATTTCATAATGCGGCAGAAAAAAAACATGTAATTTTAAAATAATAGCAAAATTATGCAGATACATATGAAAAACATTATTTATATCAACACAACATACTAAAAGCTAGAAGAAAAAGATATGTTTTTAACGACATTATATTATCACATTTTGAATAAATGCCCTATTGATAAAAATAACATTGTATAAATAGATTTTTTACTGTTAAATTTCAGTAAACTTACAATACTCTACATGCCCCTTCGACATGATAAACTAGCATTTGTAGCCCAATGTGTGTCATCTTGGAGAATGTATAGCGTAAAATAATATTGGAAACATTGTACTTTATCTTCGCATTATCTTTCCTTGTTTTTCACCAAGACACAGCAGGAAGCAGATGAAGTAGAGCTAAGTTTTTTTTTAAATATCTCGGCATACATAAGCAAAGTGTGGTTAACACTTTGCTAAAGCCGTCTTTGTTTCCCTATGTCTCGAACCCATCTGAACTTTTGGAGGCTATACAGTAAGCTCTACGATCCACCCAACCACATACTCCCTCTCTTACTTGTTACAGCCGTTGAAATATTTTGATAAAAATATAGCCAAGGTCAGATCGATTATAGATCTTGCATATTTTTAAATTGTGCTTTGCTATTTCTTTGTTTTATTTAACAAAAATAACAAATGCCGCTCAATCGATGACCTATTTAGAAATGCGTCTTTTATCTAACGATCGACACATCTTTTGAACATTCAATACATAGTGGGTACGGATGTGTTTTAATGAAGTCTACTTATTGAAAATTACAAGTAAAAGAATTATTCTTTTGTGATACAAAGAAATAACATACTGCTTTTGTTGGAAATACACTACAAATTAGAAAAATATATTTTAATAGTTTTTTCCTTTTGTTTCACTATATGCATTAAAATATGTAGTTTTTGTTTTAATATAATTACATATAGCAAGAAAATGTGCATCACTGTTAACGATTTACACGAAGAAGTGTGTATTACTAATTGTACTTCAAATAACAAACTAATTCGCAACTGTAAAAAATGTAACGTTGTATATAAATAAACAACTAATCTCATATACAATTAAACTTATTACACTCTTTTGTTTAAGCCAGAATTAGCATCTATTTGATTTATTCGTTTAAGGAACACGTATCTGTTAACTTATATTGTTACTTTCAATAACTCTTATATCACCAAGTTGGGTTTCATTACTTAAGGCACAATGTCAAGCAATATTATAAAATCGAAATGCAACTTAAATTTGCAGCACAGTTTGTTACAAATATCACTCCCAACCTCTACAATACATTTATGTTTTTTCGCTTGAATTTGTTGCTTTAAGTTCCATATAAAAGGCACTTCCATCTTTTAGCATTGAAGTTAGTATAACTGTCTCTGTAGGTATCTTTGGCTGTTTTGTTCAACGTTTTATACAAAAGTAACTTGCAAAATTCACCACTAAAGATAACATTGGTGTTGGTACATTTGAATGGGTTCTTCAAGGTTTCTTACAAAAGTCATTTCCAACCATCATCACTGAAGCTAACATTTTTTGTTGGTACATTTGACTGAGTTGTTCATGTTGTCTAACTGAAGTCACCCCCAACCCTCCCCGCTAAAGTTCACATTGCTGTTGGCACCTTTTGACTAAGTTGTTCATGGTGTCTAACTTAAGTCACTCCCAACCCTCCCCGCTAAAGTTCACATTGCTGTTGGTACTACTGCCTGAGTTGTTCAAACAGTCTAACTGAAGTGACTCCCAACCTTCGCCACTAAAGTTCACATTGCTGTTGGTTAATTTTGACTGAGTTGTTGAAACAGTCTAACTTAAGTCTCTCTCAACTCTCCCACCTAAAAGTTCACATTTGCTGTTGGTATATTTTGACTAAGTAGTCTAACTTAAGTCTCTCCCAAACTTCGCCACTTAAGTTCACGTTGCTGTTGGTACTACTGCCTGAATTGTTCAAACAGTCTAACTGAAGTCACTCCCAACCCTCCCCACTAAAGTTCACATTGCTGTTGGTACTACTGCCTGAATTGTTGAAACAGTCTAAATTAAGTTACTCCCAACCTTCCCCGCTAAAGTTCATTTTGCTGTTGGTATATTTTGACTAAGTAGTCTAACTGAAGTCACTCCCAACCCTCCCCGCTAAAGTTTACATTGCTGTTGGTATATTTTGACTAAGTAGTCTAACTGAAGTCACTCCCAACCCTCCCCGCTAAAGTTCACATTGCTGTTGGTATATTTTGACTAAGTAGTCTACCTGAAGTTACTCCCAACCTTCGCCACTTAAGTTCACGTTGCTGTTGGTACTACTGCCTGAATTGTTCAAACAGTCTAACTGAAGTCACTCCCAACCCTCCCCACTAAAGTTCACATTGCTGTTGGTACTACTGCCTGAATTGTTGAAACAGTCTAAATTAAGTTACTCCCAACCTTCCCCGCTAAAGTTCATTTTGCTGTTGGTATATTTTGACTAAGTAGTCTAACTGAAGTCACTCCCAACCCTCCCCGCTAAAGTTTACATTGCTGTTGGTATATTTTGACTAAGTAGTCTACCTGAAGTTATTCCCAACCTTCCCCGCTAAAGTTCACATTGCTGTTGGTATATTTTGACTAAGTAGTCTAACTGAAGTCACTCCCAACCCTCCCCGCTAAAGTTCACATTGCTGTTGGTATATTTTGACTAAGTAGTCTAACTGAAGTCACTCCCAACCCTCCCCGCTAAAGTTCACATTGCTTTTGGTATATTTTGACTAAGTAGTCTAACTGAAGTTACTCCCAACCCTCCCCGCTAAAGTTCACATTGCTGTTGGTATATTTTGACTAAGTAGTCTAACTGAAGTCACTCCCAACCTTCCCCGCTAAAGTTCACATTGCTGTTGGTATATTTTGACTAAGTAGTCTAACTGAAGTTACTCCCAACCCTCCCCGCTAAAGTTCACATTGCTTTTGGTATATTTTGACTAAGTAGTCTAACTGAAGTTACTCCCAACCCTCCCCGCTAAAGTTCACATTGCTGTTGGTATATGTTGACTAAGTAGTCTAACTGAAGTTACTCCCAACCCTCCCCGCTAAAGTTCACATTGCTGTTGGTATATTTTGACTAAGTAGTCTAACTGAAGTCACTCCCAACCTTCCCCGCTAAAGTTCACATTGCTGTTGGTATATTTTGACTAAGTAGTCTAACTGAAGTTACTCCCAACCCTCCCCACTAAAGTTCACATCGCTGTTGGTACCTTTTGACTGAAATGTTCAGTCTAACTGAAGTCACTCCCAACCCTCCCCACTAAAGTTCACATCGCTGTTGGTACCTTTTGACTGAAATGTTCAGTCTAACTGAAGTCACTCCCAACCCTCCCCGCTAAAGTTCACATTGCTGTTGGTACCACTGCCTGAATTGTTCAAACAGTCTAACTGAAGTCACTCCCAACCCTCCCCGCTAAAGTTCACATTGCTGTTGGTACCTTTTGACTGAAATGTTCAGTCTAACTGAAGTCACTCCCAACCCTCCCCGCTAAAGTTCACATTGCTGTTGGTACCACTGCCTGAATTGTTCAAACAGTCTAACTGAAGTCACTCCCAACCCTCCCCGCTAAAGTTCACATTGCTGTTGGTACCACTGCCTGAATTGTTCAAACAGTCTAACTGAAGTCACTCCCAACCCTCCCCGCTAAAGTTCACATTGCTGTTGGTACTACTATTCAAACAGTCTAACTGAAGTCACTCCCAACCCTCCCCGCTAAAGTTCACATTGCTGTTGGTCCCACTGTGAGGGTGAAAGTAATAAAACCTGTCCGTGCCAAGCTTGTACACAGGAGCCCCGCTGCTACCCGGGCATGTACACGCTGTGTACGTGTACTTAGTCCACTTCAACGAACGGTCGTGCTCATCCGTCCGTTCCTGCCTGGTAATCCACTGACCCACGGACACATGCTTAGGCCACCGATGGGGGTGGGAAACTATAACAATTAATTTATCCAGGTTAACGAACCGATGGTATTTTTTATTCACAACATTACACAAGTTGTAGAATCGGCTGACGGTTTCGTTTAAACTGTTGATTAAATCCATGTCACACGTGACACACGTCAGCCTGGCCAGGTCGCCCTTAACGTCGGCTTTGCTCATATCACAGACTTTTAACTTCGTTACACAACTGCTGCTGTTGTTGAAACCTAGAACACATGTCGTGTTTATAGCCTCGCTTTCGTCAAACACAACATGCGTCGCGGTGAGCACTCGGATTTTCCCCCACTTCAGGCTCGGATGTTTCGAATGTTCACAGTTAACACAAACACAGTGACCTTGACCTACACATTCATAACCTCCCCTGACGCGACCTGTTCCGCTTCTGGTTGCGGGGTAGCTGCTATTTTTAGACGTCAAATCGACCCCCAGGTAAAAATCAGGTCTTCGGGGACTTGTTGAGTTGACCGTGACCATGACGGTGAGGTCAGCCTGTGTCCTGATGACGTCAAGCATGTCCTGGTCCTGATAGCGCGCTGGAAGATGTCCGATGTTGAACTCATCGATGGGAATAAAGTTCTCGTGGTTCGGGTTTTTGGTGCAGTCTAAAACGTGAGGGCAGCCCTCGCCACTGTCGTCTACCTCGTGAGTTCCTGAAATCACATAACAATAAGGGCATACATTAATAAATATAAGGAAAGCATAGAGTGAAAAAAAATATTTTAAAAAATCCTTTGTACTTTACAGTTAAAGAGGTACCCTTTTTCTGTGAACGCGGCATACGAACGAATAGTGTGGTATGGGCTAAATCAAGCCGCTTTTAGTTTCTACGTGTGTCAGGTACCCATCAGAGATGAGTGGACTCAGGAATGACATATGGACTCGAACAGTAAGCAGTCGTACGCTCTATCATTCGACCACGCAGTCCCAAACAAATTCAGTTTGGAATAAGATGCTAAATAGGGTTTACTTATACATATGTATAAAAACAAAAATAAGTTTTTACTTGCTTTTAAATACACTAATATAATAAAAAAATATAATAAACGAGCCGACCGGCGGCGAATCATAAGCCGCTATTTAGTTGTTTTATTTTCTATTTTTTAACACGTTTTTTCTTAACTCAGCTTCGCGTTTGTTTGTTTGTGGGTTTGTTGTTAAAATTGACAACGAAAATTAGCCCACTTCTGATTGCTCTAGACATCTGAAATTCGGCATGCAGGCTATTTTCGCCTAACAATTTCAGATGCAATCATAAAAACTAGCAATTAGAGACCTAAATTAGTTTAATTAAATTACGCCCCAAGGACCCTAAAATTGAGGACATGATTTCTAAAGCAAAAATAAATTATCAATCCAGATTTATCAAAACAAAATTAAGAGGTTTTATCAGTGGTCTAGCGGTAGAGAGTTGGACTGCTAACCCGTTAGTCTCGAGTTCGAATCCGGGTTTAAGTCAGTAGACCGTCCCTGAGTCCACCCAACTCTGATGGGTACCTAAAAAATCCTCTAAAGCTTTATGTATTTAAAAACACTTAGTCAAGTCATACTTAATCAAGTCATTAGATAAAGTAGAAAATAAACTATATAAAAACTTTTTAAAAACCACGTTTTTCATGTGTAGCAACGGACTAAAAAGGAGAATATAAAATACTTAAAAAAACTTTTTAAAAAACCACGTTTTTCTTGTGGACTAAAAAGTAGAAAATAAATTTTTCTTCCGACCCTAGGGGATCTACCAATGACTGCTCGTAGATTTTGTGCTTCATCGAGCTGTGCAGGTTCTTGTGATGACTGTTCATACATTTGATGACAAAAAACGTGGGTCGGGCAGATGGGTCGGGAAATTTGATGGTGAACGTACCCACGTTTTTTGTCATATATATTATATATATATATATATATATATATATATATATATATATATATATATATATATATATATATATATATATATATATGACCAACTAATTTAACTAATGTTAGCTGTATCAAAATTAATAGAGGGACGTAACTGATTGCATTAGAATTTCGTATTGTGATTATGCTCGATAGCGGTTCTTATTTCTAATCTCTTTCTGAATACTTTCGTGACATCCCGGGGCTACAGATTTGACACAGAGTGAGAATCACTGAGACCCTAAGTGGTTGACTATCACTTATTAACCCACTAAGGAGGTGTTACAGTAACAGCGTTGGTCAGAGGCGTAGCGACCCTTCCCGGCGCCTGGGGACAAACTTTTCGATTTGCAACCCCCTCAAGATTTCGAATTACACCCCCCCCCACAATATTACGATTTGCACCCCTCCCCTCAAGATTTAATTTGCACACCCCCCCCCCCCCCCCCGTCAAACTTTCGATTTTCACACCTCTCAACCTTTCAATTTATTTTTCCAACCCATTGTGGCGACCCCTAAGGTCGGCGCCTGGGGACATATGTCCCCGCCCCCCCTCGCTACGCTACTGGCGTTGGTCACAAAATGTGCAGAAATATTTACAAAAGATGCACCGGTTTTTATTTACAATTTTAGCTAAACATGTATTTTATTGTAACTTTATATATTTAACATCTTGTAATTATAGGTTTTTAAATGTGTTTGATTGAAGGAAGAAAATGCAAAGATTCTTACCTCTAAATGCATTTTCCTCATTCAAATCATCCATGTCTTGCTAGCTCTGACCTCAAAATAACGTTGGGTCTGAATATATTAGATGAATCGTAACATTATGATGAAATAGTAACTGCAACAAAATAACATTAAAATATATTAAAATATTTTACAACAGTCACACGAGAATGCAGACACATGAATAAATTACAGTTGTAAATTACAGCTTTCTTACATCTGAGATACCAGTATCCGATAATATAACCTTCTTTATAAAGTAGGGTGTTAGAGGTAGTAAGTTAAAAATTATTATATCTTGTTAATATCAAAGCTAACGACCTCTGTAACACAAAATTCTACATTATATCTGACCACAGAACTAACCTTTATACTGGTCCTAAGACTAAAAGTATTTATAGAATAGTATTTGTTCTAGAAACAAGCACACACATATTAGAAGAGTCCACCGTAGATGATGGTAAGAGAACTACTCGCATCACACAAACCAGGAAGTATAATGGGGTTAATTAACACATACTTAGTGTAACGAGTTCGCGAGAGGCTTTTTTTAGCTTCACAAAGATTTCAACATCGTAACTTCTTGTGAGGGGGGAGGGGGGGGGGGGAGTGTCGAGAGGGTGTTCGAGTGATAGCAACAGAATTTGGCGCAAGACAGACATATAAGGGAACGCTAAAATAAATTACCAGGCAAGTAAATTATAGCAGTGCCCGATAAAAACCCTAAAAATAGAAACATCGTAAAAGAGGGGTGTTAGATCAATACATTATTAAAAATATACCTTACCTATGTCATTGGAGAAACTAGAGAACATATAAATCCGTAAATAATATAGTACAGAGTTAAACCGATCTGGATAACTGAAAGTTAAAATAATGCAACTTACCGGTTATTTTTTGTTTTTGTTTTTTTAATGATTTATTTACTAGACAATATAGATAAAAAAATATTGAAAACACAATCGGGCTGTGTAAGGTAGCTTAAGTTTTACAAACACCAACACAGTCACCAAACACCACTAAATATTAGACTTATCATGTTGTTTTTGAAAGCGTATCTCACTCGAACTAAGTAACAATCAAAATCTTATATGTGTTACGTACGCTAAAGAACGATAATTCTAAGTTTTAAAGTTATTCTTTAACTGTCTATATGATCCAAACAGTTAATCTGACCACTGTTCGTTCGGAACGCCATACAGACGTATCAAAATAAAAAAAGTAAAACGCTTGTCTTACGTGTCTTACCTGTGTCATTTTAAAGTTGAACAACGAAAAGTTTATTATGACCACAGCTTATATTTAGACCACTTGTATCCTCTGCCTTTACCAAGACGCCAGAAATAGACTAGGGTTGGGTGTGGGAATTCCAATTGTCGAGATCGAAATGGATTGAAAATCACCAGGGCGCAGCGAGCTACGTAAAGTTTTCAGGTGTTCTGTGTCTGTAACAGTAGTGGTTGTGTCCCCTTCTGTAGTTTATTTAGCCTTGAGTGAGTTCTGACACTTGAAATTAAGAAGGGTCATTGGAGGGGAGGCTGTAATATAGAATATTTGGAACCATGAGAGACTTTAATATAGGCTAGAGTACAATGGGAGACTTTAATATATGCTAGAGTACTATGGGAGACTTTAATATAGGCTAGAGTACCATTGGAGACTTTAATATAGGCTAGAGTACCATGGGAGACTAATATAGGCTAGAGTACTATGGGAGACTTTAATATAGGCTAAATAGTACCATGGAATGCTGTAATATTGGCTAAATAGTATTACAGGAAACTGCAGTTTTAAAACATAACATAAAAAGTGAGACTGAAATAAAGACCCAACGGGTCGTGGAGACTAACATAAAACAAGAAATGTCATGAATTGCATCTCATGACACATCATGACAACTTAACAAGAACAGTTGTTTTTTTTTTACATTCCATTTTTAAAAGCAAACAATGTAATGTTAGAATCATTGTCATCTGAACCATATCAAGTCACATGCATGGATAATATGACAAAACATAATCACTCTCTCGAGTCTATTACTACAGATCTAGATAACGCCTACAATATCAGAAGGTTTTCTCTGTACCTAAGTGTAATTCCGTCCCTAAACAACGTCATTTTGCTTAGACTTGATCATAAAACACACTAAGAATCCGACCCTGTACGTGACCTTGGAAATCAACCTTAACTACATTTCAGCCCATATCCTTATAGCAATGCTGCAGTAAAAAAAACCCACTGAGATGATACTGTAAGGTGCTGTTGGTGTTTAGGAGAACCCTTGTCAGACAGCGTCAGGTTTTACACAGGTTAATGAGGTCACGAACACCTGTACACCACCACACGTCGAACCTTGGTTTACCTCCAACCCACCCAACCGTATCGGCCAGCTAATACAGGTGTGCTGTACGGCTGCGTGTTGCTTCTTGTCCAAACTGTAGCCCTGCTTTTGAAACAACTTCTGTCTAGTTTTACCACTACTTTATTTAATTACTTTACATCTTATAATGGATTATCCCACTAAACGCTGTATTAAAACAATGAAACAATGATTTATAACGTTTTAAAAAAAAAGCAATACAGTTATTCGTATACTCGTAGTTCATTAGTCCCTAATTTAAAGACGCAAACTTTTTTCAGTGCAATTTTTTACCTTTTATTTACAGTCCACAAATTAAATCTAAAAATAATTATTATAATTTAGTAATTATCATCATGAAAAAGTGTACATTATAACTAGTTAGCATGCAAAATAGGAAGATAAATTGTTTAACTTTCGCAGAGAAATACTAAACAGATGTTTAAATAATCCAAAAGCTAAATTACATTTATTATATCTCTTCGGCAGATAGAGTCTGTAGAAAAAATATGTTCGTACTATGATAAGTCATTCTACTAATGTACACATTAGAAGTCTTGTGACATAAATGAAAATCAAATAAAAGAAACAGACTATAGAAAGAAAAAAAATCTTACCCGGATGTAAAAAAAAACACCTGATGTTTGCTGAAGTATAAGGTGTTCAGTCACACAGCGATTTTGAGATGTGGTTTTACCTTCGCCTCGCTTGACTGGTTTTCCCTGTAATAACTGCTCTATAAAACCTGTTGACTATCAGATTTGTCTACCTTGAACCACAAGCAATACGAACACACTGTGTGCTACAAAGTGACGCCTGTCTTTTCAGTGCACCAAACGTAGGTTTCTTTTCTATACTAAACGTATACATTTTTTCCACGACAATTTTATTAATTAATATTAATTGCAAAGAATAATTGGACAAAATAAACAATTTTCTTTGTTCCCATAAAATATATATATAGAGTATATTTAAGATATTGGTTTATATATTAGGCAATTTTTTTTTAATATCGAGGCGTAACGTTATGCATGACAAACAATAAATACAGAAAATCTATAAATATAATTCTCTTCTGGGAGACGTTAGAAAACAAGCTGCAAGCGCGCCTTGCAGTCCCCTCTCTTCCTCTCTATCGCTAACCCTCCCCCCATCCGCCCCTCCCCCACCCGCCCCTCCCCCACATGATTTGGTGAGCTGTAGTTCACGTTAAATGTTTACAAATCGTAGAGCCGGGTTTAGTGACGGTTATTAGGGGCAGATAATTTAGTTTGAAACGATTTTAAACTTAGAGGAGGTAACTAAGAGGAGGCTGCTTTCACGGGGGGGGGGGGGGGGGGTTAGTATTTTAAAGCAAATATTTTCAGTGGCAGCATTGCGTAATACTGTCGAATTCACAAATTATGAATTACTGAAAAGTAGAAAAAACAACTAAATAGCGGCGTATGATACACCGCGGGTCGGCTCGTATGTTTTCTTTTCCTTAGGTCTACAATAAGTGCGTAATAACATCGGTAAATTACCACGCTGATCGGGTATACATTCGTTTGATGACAATGGGAGAAGGCGGAGAGTGCATTTTCATCTATGTGTGTTGAGGAGAGAAAAATATACTTTTTAGAAATGATATTATCTCACATTTCCAATTTTTACTTTCTTGTATTGTAATCGTGCAAAAAATCGAAATCGAGATTTTCAGAAATCTCGGTTTTTTTTTACACCTCCATGAGTCGGAAATACATAATTTAGCGATTTTGTCCGTATGTCTGTGTGTGTGTGTGTGTGTGAATGTGTGTATGTATGTGTGTATGTCTGTATGTCCGTAAACACGATAACTTGAGTACCGTTACAGCTAGGTTAGTGAAATTTCATGTATAAGCATTATATCAAATTCGTAGTTCTGTATCAACTTTTCCCGTAATGGGAAGCGAAACTTATTCTACTTTGAATTTTCCAAAGCCTATAACTTGAGTGTTGTTTTAGATAGATAGACGATGTTTAAAATGTAAGTAAAAAATCTAATTGTCTACCGTCTGTCAAATTTTGAGTAATTCCCGTTGACTGCAAGTAATAATTTTCGCTATTTCCGATTTCTCCAAAAACGAATATGAATTTTTAAAGTACTAATATTCTGCACTATTATACAGATATTGTTTGCCATTCACTTGGTGCGCAATTCTTTTTTCTACAAGTCTCTATTATATATTTTTTTTAAAAATCTAAAACCTGATTAACAAACATGTCTATATCTATAAGAATATTCGAGAATTTTAGTGGAGATCACTTCCGCTTTATTATTCTTGCGTGCGTTATAGTCGTAGTGAAACAATAACTGTTAGCACAAGGGATAATTCGTTTTTATGTAAATTGTTTCTACCAAGACAATGTTTTTTCCAAAAGTTTTAGAAATGTCAATGCTATTATATTTGCCCTAAGAATATCTTGTTAAGACTTCAAAATAAAACGTTATCAATAAAATGTCAATTGTATTTTCAGAAAAGTTTTAACGGCGGAGTAACCGGAAAAGACAATGGCTACACCTACAAAAAGTGAAGGCGATGATATAAAACCAGGTATGTCATTCGTCCTGTGCCGAGATTCAAAGTAAGAATGTAAAGTCATGATTGAATCATGCATTCAAGTTCGATATGAATATACTGGGCTGTGTTATACTGTAAAAATTTTGAAACTAGCTTCTGCTCAGATGGGAAATGTTTTTTAAAAAGGCGAAGAAGAATATATTATTTTGATGGGATCCTTACCATATAGCACCGCAATTATTGCATTCTTGTAATATGTTATTTACTTTTAATTTTAATGTTTGTGTTTTTTTAAGAATGCTAAAATTTAAAAAAAAATATATAATCTTAGATGTAAAATTTTCACCCGTTTAAAACAGGCCATCATGAAACAGAAGTCTGTTACGAAGGCGAATTTGAATTAGATAAGCACCAACAGGACTGTAAGAAGAACCCCGGCCATGTTAACTTTATACCTATAAAAGATTTTGATTACGATCATCTCCCTGAACGTTATCAGGATCTAGACATGATGCAAGTGATCCAGTCGTTGGCAGCACTCACTGTTAAGCTGAAAGTCAAGTGCACTAGTAAGGAAAGACCTCCATATGCTTCCTTCTATACCGGGGGTTTTCCATTTTATAAAGATGGTGGAGGTAAATCAATACGAATTGGAACTGGCAAGATCGAGTCTGCTTTCATTAAGAAGGGAAACCTTACAGCTTCGGAATATGTACCTTTAGAAATCTGTCCATGTGACATATGCAAAACCTCAAGTAATCCAGTCGATCTGTGGGGGGAGATAAAAGTTGTGACAGCCATACATGTTGTGTTTGATGAGGAAGAAGCAAAAAAGACCGAAGTTATCGTAGATTTGGCTGACGAGAAAACTCCTGGTGCAACCTTGAAGGGAACACGCGTGGAGAGCTGTAGTGTAGAGGGAGACAGGTGTGAGGTTATCTGTGTGACACACGACTTAGAAGTGGTGAAAAAACTTCAGCAGGTGATAGATACATTTCGGGAGCAATACAGATTAGTGAAGATCAAATATATTTACAATCACTCTGCTAAAAAAGAAAACTTGGTAATCGTAGTGTCACATCCACATGGTAAAGCTAAAAAGATCTCGCTTGGCCTTGTCGTTAAGGAAACGAACTTTAAAGCTGACTTGACCTTTAGCAGGTACACGTACACGGCACCCACCTGCCCAGGCAGCAGCGGCGCCCCAGTATTTGTAATGGGGTACAATGGAATTATGATGCACACCCATGCAGGGGCGAATAAAGATGAAAATTTTAGCGGGGAAGCCCATTCGTATTTTTAATCTTGCAAACTCTCAACTTAAAACGATCAGGAATGAAAAACTTATTTTTAAAACTATTTAATTAACGCAAGAAAAATGGGTTACCGCTGGGGACACTTGGAGAAACTAGCACAAGAAAGATGGGTTATCACTGGGGACAGTTAGAGAAACTAGCACAAGAAAGATGGGTTACCACTGGGGACAGTCGGAGAAACTAGCACAAGAAAAATAAAGTTGAAAATGTCAGCTTGGAACGTCACTGATTTTCTTAATCATGCAACTCTCAACATAAAAAGATAAGGAATGAAAAAGTAATTTAAAGTTTATTTTATTTACAGCCTAACAGCAAAAACTATTTCAATCTCTTATTTGTCGTTATTTAAAGAGCAAATAATAATGTATATCTCTTTTTTAAAACAATGTTATCGTGCTGTTAAAAACAGTTTTTTCATTTATTTTCGTTTTGTTTAGTATAACCTATCCTACATATTCTCTATATTTCTTATTATTTTATAATAAATACATGATTAATTAAATAAATATTAGCTTTAGACATAACATTGTTCGAGTTAGTTTTAAAAAAAAATAAAACAATTAGTTTAATATATTTTAATGAGTATAAGTATCACTGTAACCACATATAAGCTAAATGGACATTTCTCTATCTAAGTATAAGGGTTTAATTTACCAAATGTGATATATTACATAAAAAAGAAAACATCGCAAAACAAGCTTTGGATTGGAATCCCCAGGGAAAACGGAGGGTGGGCCGGCCAAGGAAGACATGGAGAAGAACGGTTGAAGAAGAGGCGACAACAGCTGGGCACACATGGGCACAGATAAAGGGAGCAGCCCAAAACCGAGTCAGATGGAAATGTGTGGTTGCAGCCCTTTGCTCCCCAGGAGCCACAAAGGAATGATGATGATGATGATATATTACAACAAAAATGAACAGCAGATATCTAATTTTCAAAAGAGTATAAGGTCGTTAATTTAGCAAATTTTATGAGATTTTATTCGTAGAAATTTTTTTATATCTATTTTATTTTCATAACTTTCTAACAGTTCCTTTACACTGTTATTTATTTATATCTTAAAAAGCCGAAGTGTAATATAAATCAATCATTTTAAGACAGGAATATTAGGTTTACTGATTGTTTGGAAAACACACAGCATGTCAATACATAAAACAATAAGAAAAAAAAAAGAAACTATTTCTTTCTTGTTAATAAATTATGAAAATAATCAATGATTAGGTTAATTATTATAGCATACGTTACGTAGGTTATTTATTAGCTTCTCATTACAGTTATGACATTGGCCAATAATAATAAACGTCCAGCTGTCGCTAAGGTTTCTCCAACTGTCCCCAGTGGTAACCCATCTTTCTTGTGCTAGTTTTTCCAACTGTCCCCATGGTAACCCATCTTTCTTGTGCTAGTTTCTCCAACTGTCCCCAGTGGTAACCCATCTGTCTTGTGCTAGTTTCTTCCAACTGTCCCCAGTGGTAACCCATCTTTCTTGTGCTAGTTTCTACAACTGTCCCCAATGGTAACCCATCTTTCTTGTGCTAGTTTCTACAACTGTCCCCAGTGGTAACCCATCTGTCTTGTGCTAGTTTCTTCCAACTGTCCCCAGTGGTAACCCATCTTTCTTGTGCTAGTTTCTACAACTGTCCCCAGTGGTAACCCATCTTTCAGTTTCTCCAATTTGCAACAGTGGTAACTCATCTTTCATATGCTAATTACTCCTCAGAGGAAGCCTTTTATTCTTGTACTATTTTCTTGGTATGTCTCATATGGTAGCATTTCTTTCTTGGGCTAGTTTCCACAACTCTCCACAATGATAAACCATCTAATTCACATCTCTATTTGATCTCGGCTTTACTGGTCGTTGTTCACTCCATATAAAGGCGGATAGAGCTACGGTGCTCTATAATAATTGCTATTGCGTTTTGAACGTTCAGAGCATTCGACTAGAGGTTAAAACGAAATAAAAGAATTTTCTAGAAAAAGTTTTGTCGGAAATATTTGAATATTTGAACGGTGTCACCTGTCAACCCTAGTCAATAGCATACGCACGTAGAACCCCTGTTTACCCTGGACAACTTATGATCTCGACTACATGGATAACTCGTGTTTAGGATAAATGTAAATATTCATTTCCTTTGTTTCTTTTAAACACAACATTTATTGTTAGGTAAACCAAGTAAAAATCTCGAAGAAAAACTGAACCGTAACCTTTCACGAATAGAATACACTTGCAACAACACTAACATGTTCAGACTATTATCCTTTTAAAATAAAACATTCCACAGAGAATGGACGATACAGAAATCTGAACCGTAAATATTTGCTTGACAACTATCACTTTGAATAGACGGATTTCCAATACATTCATGATTTTGCATTAAAATGAATGCACATTTGAATCGTTTACATCTCCACCGAACTGTTCTACGCGTACTTAAATAGAAAATTTAGTTTTCAAAAGATCTCTTTATGCCTATTTTTCTCTTTCTCTCTCTCGCTCTCCCCCTGTTTCTCATTTATTTAAAAAAAAACTTAACAGAGGGAAGAAAATCGTGCATTTGTTGTCCCAAGTTTTCTATCCGCTTGACTTGGTGGTATAGAGCCTACCATGAATTTTTATCCTCCACCCCACCCCTCTCCTCCTCTATCTACCGATGCATTGCACTGCCTGTTTTGAAACTGTAAGGGAGGGGTAGTTTGTGTGAAATGTGGTCCTTATGTAAGACATCTGTCTAAAAATATTTATAAAAGTGAAGAGAGTTAGATGTAGACAAGCTATAATAGCAACTTACACTACTAAATAACTTTTGGTGGGGTTGTTGGGGCGCAACATAGTGGTCTCGCGGCAACGCCCACCCCTCTCCCTGCATGACAACAGCCGGATGCCTCTATCTAGGTTGCGCGTCATGGTCACGAACATGTGACCGTTGAAGTCCATCTAGGAACTCTTGCGCCCTGGTCGATGACCTTTACTGGGAGGCCATACACCCAGTGATGCCGAATAGCATTATAAAGTAACATACTTTTACTGAGTCTAGCTTAACCTTGATATCATAGGTCTCTAAGGCTTTTGCAATGAATGTATTTTATATGTTATAGATCAGTGACCTATGTCAGACGTGAAACGATAAGCTAACTTAACCTATGATACTCTATCGACACCACTACCACCCCACCAAGCACAAGAAAACACGAAATTGGTAACAATAGCGATAGAGACATATAGCTTTTATATATATATATATATATATATATATATATATATATATATATATATATATATATATATATATATATATATATATATATATATATATATTTATATGTGTGTGTGTGTGTGTATGTATATATATTTATGTATATATATATATAACATAACGATTTTGGTTAAAACTTGTTCCAGATTTTAAGAAACTGAAAAGTTATATTTAACAGCGCACACTTGTGATTCATGTAGTTTCGGTTCGAAGGTTGTAGACTGTAGTCTTCACCGTGTAATCTAAAGTTCCATTCGAACGTGCTGTTCGCTGAAGAGTATGGCACTTATGTCAACATTCAAATATTTAATGATATTGGTTTCGTGGTAAACGTGATATGTTTATTTTAAAAGGCGTGGTTAGTTTCTGAAAATAGTCGAGTATTGTTAAGCAATTAGGGTTCTCATAGACCAGTGTAGAGTGCCAGACACTTTTCTGTAATCTACAGACGAAAACCGAAAGAGCTGGGAAAGACACAGAAACCGGAAGAATGGGTTTTTCAAATAACATCTTGCCGTGTGTAGTATTATGTTCAGTTTCTTCCAGGCATCTCTTTGCTTTGCCCCCCCCCCCCCCGAAAAAATTCTACCGCCTTCCCCCCCCCCCCCCCGAACGAAATGAAATTTATATAATTTATATAGAAAATATATACTTTTAACAGTGTCCGCCCCCCCCCCCGAAGAAAGTCTACCGCCCCCCGAAAATTTCAAGTGCCCCCCCCCCCCCCCACGGAGAAAAAAGTCTGGAAGAAACACTGATTATGTTTTGAACGTACAACACAAACACAACAACTATCTTTAGTCTGTTTTAATAATTTTTAGTTTCTCGTATATGAAATATAGATGAAGTATTGTAATCGTGCAAATGAAATCGAGATTTCCCACATATCAGACGTTTAACACGTCATAGTTTCGAAAAACTTATTTTTGTAAATGTGTTTATCTATGAATACGATAACATGAACACCGTTTCAGTTAAGTTGACGAAATTTTATATTTAAGTATCATATCGAAATAGTTCTTTATCAACTTTTGAACGATTTCCGGTTAGGGGGTCATCCATAAATGACGTCACGCTTTTTTGACGATTTTTACCTCCCGCCTCCCCTCCGTCACACGTCGTCACAAAAAGCCAGCCCCCCCCCCCCCCCCTAAAATGACATCCCACCTCAGCCTACAACCCAACCTTAAAATTGCAGTTGAATTTTTTTATACATCGATATTTTTCTAAAATCTTGTCTGAACTCTGTCAAAATAGAGTGTTTTAATCTTCCTAATACAATTTATTAAAACAGTTTTTTGTAACGCGAAATAACTCCTAAAATTCATTTTCTAACATTGCTTTTTCATAATGCAAAAGTGTGACGTCGCACCTTCTGAACCCCCCCCCTCCCCCTCATCACACACCGTCACACACAAAATTACGGACCAACCCCTCCCCGCTACGAGTGTGACGTCATTTGTGGACGACCCCTAATCGGATTTGGTGCCTACTCTATTTCCGCTTGCTCGAAAGACAGTAACATTTAAGGTACATGTAAAAAACGTCACTAGTTAGTATTACATTATATGCGCATGTTGCTTTCAGACTTTGAACTACTTCCGGTAAACGGGAGTTATATTTTTTTTACTATTTCCGGGTAAACACTAAGACTTATTTACTGTTTAATTTATGTAGATGAAATTTCATATATTTTATGTATAATATTTTATACTTTGACTTCTTACAATTTTTCAGTGAACTTCAGCAACCGGAAATGGGACAGAGTGGTCTAGCGGTAGAGAGCTGGACCGCTAACCCGTAAGTCTCGAGTTCGAATCCGGGTTCAAGTCAGTAGACCGTCCCTGAGTCCACCCAACTCTAATGGGTACCTAGCTCACGTTAGGGAAAGTAAAGGCTGCTGGGCATAGTGCTGACCACATTATCTCTTTATATGCCGAGGTCACAGAAACAAGTGAACTCTACTTCACTTGCCAAATAGACCGTCAGGTTTGAAAGGGAAACTTTACTTTTTTTTAGCAACCAGAAGTGCTACTTTATTCCCATTTACTAAAATACCTATAACTTTAATACCGTTTTAGTTAGGTAAACGAAATTTTATAATTTAATACAAGATCTTATTTTCTTGATTATTTAAATGTTTGAATTAGTTCCGGTGAATGGAAGTCTGACATTTTGCTATTTTTGTTTTCTGAAAAAAAAAATATTTCTGCAAGACCGATTTCTTCAAAACATTTTCACTTATGTCTAGACTCGATGACAATGTAGTATGACATAAAATGTTGCTGAATTAGAAATTTAATTAACCTTTTAAAAACGCATAAATTTTTCCGTTATGCGCACTAATTGGTCGCTCTAAAATACACACATTTTTTACGTTTATTTAGTGCACAATTCTTTTTTTCTGTGCGATACTATTATATTTAAAAAAAATGTAATATACGAGGAAGTTTAGCGGAGATAATTCCTGCTTTATTTTAATAAAATAAAACAAAAACTTTGTTAGTTGTGGAGTTTGTTGTACATAAAACTATATTTAGAAATACTGTTTGTCAATTTAAATTATCAAAAAAAAACATTAAAAAATACATGATTTATAGATTGTTGTATTATATTTATTGTTTGTTTAGGTTTCATTAATAATTAAAATATGAAGTAAACGAATCTGCATATTTTTTAAAAATTATTTACGTTTTTCAATGAAATCTATCACATTTTTCTTGTGACAAAAGTGTTATGGTTAATAAAGAAAAATTACAGAAAATGAGGTGGGAACGGAAATATTAATAAGAAAAAAAAAGAAAAGCAAAAAAAAAAATAACAAAAAATCTTTTTCTGTTTAATTTGTAAAGCCTATAGAAAGCTTCGGTCGTTTCCGTGCTTACGGAAAAGACTATTACCTAATGAAGAAGAAATCTATCTTTTCAACGATAAATACTATATGATTGTAGAAAACCAAAAACGTTGGGGAAAAGCGATAGTTGTTTCATTTATATTATGTTGAAAAACTGCATTCTATATACATTGTAAAAGGAAATTCTTATAACAGTTCTTTTTTTTTCTAAATTTAAACAAAGATGAAGAACCCAAAACATTTACAAAAAAGTCAGGATTTTCGTGAGTTTCGTCTCAGAATATTGCCTTAAATTTCGTGAGATCAATCTCCAAAATTTAACTTTTATATTTTGAAGTCAAGAAAGTAAACCTCTTCATGTTTTACAAATGGTTACATTGATTAATTCTTTTTACTAATACTCAGATAAATCAAATATTTTAAAAAACCTTTATAGCAGAAAAGCTTTGGTCGCTCATGCGATCTTTTACATAATTATTTTAGCAACCAAAGCTTTTATGAAAGAAAGCTAATTAGTTTTATTTACTTATTTTCAATGCATTGAAAAGCTTGTTACTTTAAAGGGTGATTGAGTCTAGCTAGTTATATCCACTTGTGTTTTGGAATTTAGGAATCTATCGAATGATCGCTTGATTTTAATATTGTTATCCCCCCCCCCCCCCCCTTAGTTTTGAAAAAGTTTAATTAATTTTACCGACTAATTAATTATCTAATTAAATTAAAAAATACATATTATTGTATTGTCATCAAAGTGGAACGTATATGGAAAGTTTTAACGAAATCACTGCATTAGTGGGTCAAAATTGAGTTACAAGATATACCACAAACCCACAAACAAACAGACGTTGAGAACTAAATAAAAGCTTGTAAAAAAATGTAATTTTAATAGTTTTAGCTGTAGTATTTTTTGCTGGACGAGTGCTAGGATTTGGAGAAATCCAGCATCACTCACCGCTGAAATTCTCAACTTTATTCCTCCCTGCGTGGGTGTGTACATAGCACCCATTGTACCCCATTACAAAAACTGGGGCGCCGCTGCTGCCTGGACAGGTGGGTGCAGTGTAGGAGTACTTGGTGTATCTCACTGTATATTTCCAGGATATTTCTTTAATCACATAACCGATGGAGACCTTTTTAGATTTGCCGTGAGGAAAGGATACTATAAACACCACGTTTTCTTCCCTAGCAAGGTTGTTTCGATGATACTTCATCTTGATAGACCTATGGTCCTGAAAAAACGCTCGTGTCATATCTTTAAGCTTTTTTGCAAACTCAAGATCGTAAGTCACACATGCCATTTCCACTCTGTCTCCGTCCTTCCTCCTGCTATTCATGTACGAACCAACAAAAGTGAGAGTCGTATTGTCCTCCCATTCCAGAAAAACCTGTGTGTTTGTTGCCTCTTCCCCATCAAACACCAGCTGCATTGATGTGACTACAATAATCACCCCACATTCTTTCAGCGGTTCCCCATTCTGAATGCACAGTTCACATGGACAAGATTCTGGATGTTTCATTTTCACCGTCGGACCGAAATTAAAATAAACGTCTTCAATTCGACCTGTGCCGTACCTGATCAGCGATGTTCCTCTCTCCTGATAAAACGGGTAATCCCCTGTATAAAAGCTGGCGCGCTTTGGACGTTCCGTACTAACGTAAGTGACCTTCACCTTGACCGTTAACGCGGCCAGAGACTTGACAATATTCAGTACCGTCGGATCTCGATAGCGTTCTGGAAGATTTTCATACTTGAATTCGCCTGCGGGGATGAACTCTTCGTGGCCTGGATGTTTCTCACACTTGGCTTCGTGCTTGTCTAAATCTGCTTCACCTGCGTAACAGACTTCTGTTTCATGATGGCCTGTTGGATGTAAAATGACAAAAAAAAGTGAATTTCAACATGTTACATTATATACACAAAAAATAAGACATATTTTACTCTCCACCATTCAGAGTTTCTTCCAGGCATCTCTCCGGGGGAGGGGGGGGGGGGGGGTGGGCTTTGCCCCCCCCCCCCCCCGAAAAAATTCTACCGCCCCGCCGAACGAAAGGAAATTTATATAATTTATATAGAAAATATATACTTTTAACAGTGTCTGCCCCCCCCCTCCCGAAGAAAGTCTACCGCCCCCCGAAAATCGCAAGTGCCCCCCGAGAAAAAAGTCTGGAAGAAACACTGCCACCATTATTCCATAGTATGCTGTGTACCATTTTTTTTCTTACTAACCCTAGTAATATTATGCAATACCACGTTTACACTTGCTACATGTATAATATTTTTGTCCGAAAATAATAAACACTTCGCAAATAAGTGAGTACCCGACCCCCCCCCCCCTAAAGAAGGTCTGATGAAATTAACTTATGGCGAAGTTTTGGTTCTAGACTTGTACAGTATACATGTCGCATGTGTAAACACGCTGCAACACATCAAATAAACTCCTTTCCTCCAGTCACTGTCCGTCCACAAAACCTCGACATTATTCTGTTTTTGCAACACGACGGTTGTAAAAAAACATAAAACTAATCTTGAAAATTACATACATTGTAAAATAATCATTTAAAACACAGTGTAGTGTTAGTATCAACCATAAAACAGTAGTTCCTTGTCGTGTCTATCTATTTACCAAACCAATGTAATTATCATTTAGGGCAGGGGTCTCCAAACTTTTCAGTCCGAGGGCCGCATTAACTATCAATTTTCAGTTCGGGGGCCAGTTTCTTCCAGGCATGTCTTTGATTTTTCTGAGCAAAGTTCCTCAGCCATCACCAACAAACGATTTTTCCTTGGACAAAAAGATCTCCGCGGGCCGGATGAGAGCTCTTCACGGGCTGGATGCGGCCCGCGGGCCGTAGTTTGGAGACCCCTGATCTAGGTTAACGAGGGGAATTCAAATATCTAAAACACTGTAACAGAGCACTGTTGTATACTACCTCTCCACCAACTACAACCCAAATGATAGATTTAAATCATGTACGCAAATCTCTCAACATATCTTTAGTTAAACTCGAAGCCGAGAATACATAACTGTTTATAATAGAGGGCTGAAAAGTGAGTTCATTTAAACCAATTCTCAATACTGCTGCCTTTTTAAAGACTCTAATCTTTACCTGTCTATACTTGGCGTAGTAGTAATACACTTTGTAAATATCTCTGTGTCATATTATAATCTTGAGATCTATAAACTCAACATGAGGTTATTAGGAATTGCATTATTTATCAACTCAGAAATACATAAGTGATTTTAATAACCCACCCTATCACTCATATATAGCCCAGGGTTCGAACTGAAAACATACAACCGACACACGAGTGTGCTACATACCTCGTTTAATTTCATCGCTGTCGGTTTCTGCTTGCGTCGCCATTTTCTTTTTAAATAGCTGGTGATGGAATATATAAGAACTTACCTATTGTAACATGTGCAATGTTATTTTAAAAAAAAAAATAAATGAAACAGCATAGATTTTGTGAACAGAGAAACTCACCTGTTTCTATCAAAACACCACGTACAAGTGTTTAGGTCCACTTAACGGCGTGTGATTCTGGAGAAGGCTGCGATTAAAGTTTACTGCGTTTTTATATCGGTGAAGCGCACAGCTAGCTAGTCAATAGAGGCGTAGGGTCTCTGAGAAACAGCAGTGGATCTGGGGACTTGAAATCCCAGCAAACTTTTTATTTACATCCTTGTACAGCTGAGGCTATACTAAAATACGTAGGCTTTTTAAATGTAATATCTGCTGAGCTTTTCTTTCAAATACATTCTATAATTATCTCATAGGACGAAGTCTTCGCATAGTGTAGCGATATCGTTTTAGTTCATTTTAAAATTACGAGCCGACCCGCTGCGTATCATACGCCACTATTTAGTTGTTTTTTTTTTCTACTTTTCAGTAATTTATAATTTGTGAATTCGACAGTACCAATGCTGCCATTGAAAATATTTGCTTAAAAACACAACCCCCCCCCCCCCCCCACGTGAAAGCAGCCTCCTCTTAGTTACCTCCTCTAAGTTTAAAATCGTTTCAAACTCAATTATCTGCCCCTAACAGCCGTCACCAAACCCGTCTCTATGATTGTAAAATGTAAACAGAGTGAACACCGCTCACCAGATCATGTGGGGGTGGGGTGGGGGTGGTAGTGATAGTGATAGAGAGAAAGAGAGGGGACTGCAAAGGCGCGCTTGCAGCTTGTTTTCTAACTGATCCCAGAAGAGAATTATATATATAGATTATATAAGTGGTAACCTAAATGCAGTAATTAAAACAAAAATTAATATTAATTTACGATAAACAGACGATTTTCTTTGTGGCATTTAGTATGTTAGATATGTGCTTATCAAATGAAAACGATGGAGGACTGTACACAGTGAACGAGTGAAAGGGGATGAATGGGGTAAATGTTGTTTGTACCTGTTACCCTATTCCGTTTGTCCCTGTTTGTTCTCGTGCTGTGAGTTGTAATAGTCCGGTTGGTACCAGTTTATGAAAGGGTATATAAGGTGTATGAAAACGTGTGTGATGGCCTCAAATATGTCCATATCTCCAAGGCTAGTATAAGTTAGGTCTATACTAGTATTTAGCCACTGTATCGTAGTTTTACTATCCTGTGTGCAGTGTTTCTTCCAGACTTTTTTCTCCGGGGGGGGGGGGTGGCACTTGAAATTTTCGGAGGGGGGGGGGGGCGGTAGACTTTCTTCGGAGGGGGGGGGGGGCGGACACTGTTAAAAGTATATATTTTCTATATAAATTATATAAATTTCATTTCGTTCGGGGGGGGGGGGGGGCGATAGAATGCCTGGAAGGAACTCTGCCTGTGTGTTTTGTGTTTAGAATAGACTGTTTTAGGTGTAGCTAGTGTAGATATTATTAAATTATTTTAGTTTTGACCAGCCTTTGTTTTCATTCAGTCTTGTTTTGTAACCCGTTTGTGGTTGTTTGTCTTATGTGTTGCGTTACGCATCGGATCACCCGTAAGGCGTGTCCGTGTGTTCACAAAACGGTATCAAATATAGCATAGAAAACCTTTACATTCGTAGCTGCCTCTAGAAATGTTGGTCTCCGTTGTGTAAAGCATGAACTATTTCTTATACATGTGATACAATTAAAAAGAAGATATCTTCGCACACATATATTCACAGAACATCAACCAGTAACAAGTAACTGTGTTTCAAAATAAATAAAAGAAATAAAAGAAAAAAGAAAAAAAAATTGAAGAAACTTTTGAAGTGAGAAGCGTTTGAGAGTGTGTTGAAGAGACAGAAATAGAGTAAAACAAGGTAATTAAAAAGTCTAGTGACAATTTTAGCGCAATATCCTTATGTAATCTAAAAATAGCTCTGTCGTAGCGTAAATCAAGAGCAGGGTTAGTAAAACCATTGGTTAGTTATTAAAACGTTTTTTATTAATTTTTTTTTTCAGTATTTTACATGTTTTATTTACAATAGAGTTACATGACTAAAAACCATTGCGCGCCTAGCTACCGAACGTGATGGCGCAGCCATTGAACGTGACGGCGCAGCTATTGAACGTGATGACGCGTATGGTGTGGTTGGATAAACATGCCTACTAGTTCGGTCCAAATTTTAATTAATTCAAAAAACATTTTGTGACCGAACGAAAGGATATTTTTGAAAACTTTCTCGGTAATATTGTTCTAAATTATGGCAGGAATCGATTGGTACATGTTTCAAGTCGCTAAGTGGTCTGGTTGCCGAGATATGGGCAAAAAAACTGCATTTTTTCGAGGTTTTTTGGCTTTTCCGGGAAATCCATGAAAGAAACCCGGAATTTTTATGGCCTATGTTTATCCTCGTAACTTGCTTAACATAATTGCTTTTGGAACTAGTCCTCGATATTGCTTCGTTGAGGAGGAGATACGACTTAAAGCTGCGGACACACATCCATTCATACATTCATACATCCAGAAATGACGGGTTAATAAACGCAATTCTCCAGAATGGAAATTGCGCTAACCAGAATGGAAATTGCGCTAAAAGGAGAGGATATCGATGAGTCAGAGAAAAAAAAAGGGGGGGGGGGGCGATACAGGGGAATCGACGGAAGAGAGAGAGAGAGTGTGTTACGTTCGGGTTGGTTTAAACTCAAGAGACGATTCGTGTTTACTTCAATACTTTTATTCCTACTCAAATATATATTCATTCCAGCATAGCCCTCGTCCTAGCCGCTACCAAATAACCCGCGCTGACCCCCTACAATCGTTCACTCGCCCTTTTATACCCGCATTCGACCTTGGGATTACAATACATAAACACACCGGGGTTAATACACAGTAGGGTGAACTCAACTCACACGCGCACTCCCCCCTAAGTTCGAGACTATTCTATCCTATTCTACCCTGACCTCAAATGACCCGTAACAGAGAGAGAGAGAGAGAGAGAGAGAGAAACGGAAAAGCCTTACCAAACCCAATATTTAAATAAACTAAAATCCACTGGAGGGCTGCTGTGTTGAAGGTTTAAATTACCACAACCACACAGGGTAAACAGATCTTGGTGTATAAATAGTATGGATTCTTTAGTTTTACAGTTCATATTTTTAACAACATCAGCTATTCAGAGAAAATGTGAACGGGTTTTCCGTCTAGTAAAAATTACTGTCGTAGTCAGACGAGTGAAGGCATTTTCCCTTCTATTTCTTTCAGCCATTCACCCCCGTCCTCCGGCAGATTTTTGAGAAAATAAAAATTAAAAATAGGCCCACTAACAGTTATAGGTTACTGTACAAGGATGTAGTATCTATAATGCAAACTAGACGACCCGGTTTTCCGTTGGAAAACGGCCTGATCTCACAGAATAAAACAAACATCCCACTCAGGCAACCGCAACCATAGTATACTAACAAGAACTGCTGATAAAACCGTTCTTAAATCTGTGCATTGTCAATTAAGGGATTAATTAAGGGGTCGTCCAATCGTAACGCCGACATAACTTTTACTTCTGACCCCTTCTTCGCTCCTTCTTGTCCACACGCGTATTCTTTGTGCGAAATTATCATACCCCGCTCCTCACATGGATGTCATCAATCGTTAATCAGTTTTCTCAGAATATGTTTCCAGTATACTAATTTCATTACATGTGTTGTGTGTACCTTGCAGTGCTATGGTCTTTTAGACATGCTTAGTAAACAGTGTTTCTTCCAGACTTTTTTCTCCGGGGGGGGGGGGGCACTTAAAATTTTCGGGGGGGGGGGGGGGTGGGAGGTGGTAGATTTTCTTCGGGGGGGGGGGGGGCGGACACTGTTAAAAGTATATATTTTCTATATAAATTATATAAATTTCATTTCGTTCGGGGGGGGGGGAGGTGCAGTAGAATTTTATTTTGGGGGGGGGGGGGGGGTGGGGGGGTGGGGGGGCCTTGCCTGGAAGATGGCTGGAAGAAACTCTGTTAGTAAACGTTCTGGCTAGAATGTGAGCCCTCTACCAGAACTAACTAACTACTAACTAAAAGCTCAGCTTTCTAACACTTCAAACATTTGACATGTCTACTTTATTCTCTCTTCTTCAAACTGCATTTAACTAGTTTTGACAACGTAAAATAATTTGCATTTATTCAAGACGTGGGCATACGAAATTGCAAATAATTTAAGAACTAAAATAATATTGTTGAGAGAGGCTCAATTGTTTTGCAAAATGAAAATCAAATAAGTACAAATAAATTTCCTTTAATGGTGTTTCAATACTTTATTGCAAATGCAAGCTACTTTGAAGTTAAGATGACGGACTAATATCTGCTAAATACATTTGTTGTTACACAAAAGTCGACTAGAAAAAAATCATCCTTGTCCTCAATTAAATGTAAAAATAAACAATACATTTTTTTTTTTGTATTTCCTTTCTTTCCGTAATAATAAAATGTTAAGTGTCGATTCCGTAATATGTATTTCGCAAATAAAAAGTAAAAAAGCAGAATAAACAGCTTTAATAAAAGGATAAACTAGTCGATAGGGATTTTATTTGGAATAATTAGCAATGGTTATTTTCACTTGGAATCTTATCAATGTTACTATATTTCAACAAGTAAATTATATATCCAAAACATTATTAGACATAGATAATGACAAATTAGGCTTATAAATATAATTGACTCGAATATAAATATATACTATTTCGAAGTGATTCCTTGGTCACGTCGTCTATGATTGTTTGAGCTGTAAGGTTAAGAAAACCAGAAACTCACTCCGCTAAAATTTTCTGTCGGATTAGTTCCCCCGTGGGTGTGTAGGTACCACCCGTTGTACCCCATTACAAACACGGGGGCGCCGCTGCTGCCTGGGCAGGTGGGTGCTGTGTAGGAGTACTTGGTGAATGTCATGCCATTCTTCCATTTTACTTCTTTATTGACGCGACCAACAGTGACTTTTTTAGCTTTGCCGTGTGGATGTGACACAATAACGACCAAGTTTTCTTCCTTGGCAGATTGATTGTAAATGTATCTCTCTTTTACAAGTCTGTAATTTTCCTTAAACTTCTCAATCATGTCTTGAAGCTTTGTGATCAGCTCTAAGTCGTGTGTCACACATATAAATTCACACCTGTCTCCCTCCACGCTACTGCTCTCCATATGAGTTCCATTCAAGGTTACACTAGGAGTTTTCTCGTCCGCCCAGTCTATAAACACTGTGGTCTTTTTAGCTTCTTCCTCATCAAACACAACATGTGTGGCTGTCACAACACTTACCTCCCCCCACTCATTCACCCGTTTACCTGAGGTTTTGCAGGTTTCACACGGGCAAGTCGCATTAGGCCCACCTTGCATGCGAATCTTGGTACAGGCATTTTCGATCTTCCCAGTTCCAAATCTCATTGATTTATTTCCATCCTTCGTATAAAACGGGAAACCCCCAATAAAAAAAGAAGAGTGCTCAGGACGGTCTTTACTACCTCGATTGACCTTCAACTTAACAGTAAGAGCTGCCAAGGACTGGATCACTTGCATCATGTCCAGATCCTGGTAACGTTCAGGGAGATGATCGTAATCAAAATCTTGTATAGGTATAAAGTTAACATGGCCGGGGTTCTTCTTACAATCCTGATGGTGCTTGTCTAATTCAGCTTCGCATTCGTAACAAATCTCTGTATCATGATGACCTGTTTTAATGAATAATTATTATTTAGACCTGCACTTATTATCCTTTAAAATTTTCAGAGTCGAAATTTAATCATTATACAAATATTTAACTACAGTGTTATAAAAATTGATGTTTACAATAACATAACATACAGACCGGTAAACTTGTTGCTTACTAAAATTACAAATAATCATCGGTATTTTTTTTTTTTTTTTTTTTTACCTAAATGTAAGTTATAAAAGCTATAATTGTGTCAATAGATGAGTTACATACCTGGTTTTATATCACCGTCGTCGTTTCCATCGAGTGATGCCATTCTGTTCTCAAATGTTAACGATGTTCTTTATTGTTTTCTAACGAGGCAACAACAAATTATATCTAAATTAATCAAACATTGTAGCTGCTTGTTTAACAGCACAATTAGCAACTTATGTTTTTAATGTTTTTAAATTAAAACATTTTATATATCTGTATATTTAATTGATAAAAAATCAGTCTACAATAATGTGAACACTATGTCAGAATAGCGAAGTAATTAATAAAGATATTTTTTAATGTTTAAGCTGAAAATACTAAATCGTGTTGAAGAAAAAAATAATATCCTTTTGCAGCATAATGTTTTTTTCCCAATGATATCTAATAGAAGTTACCTTTCTTACAATGAATTTTTAACCCCATCAGTAAGACCTCGGTATTTTGCCTGCTTTAAAATACACGGTTAAATATATTAAATCATCCTAGTATAATAATTACACATTATAGTGCTTGAGCTCATATATTTTTGTTTTCAAACTCTTTTAAAATCGGAAATGTAAACATCTCTGTCTTATTTAGTTGTATTCAGGGGCGTAGCGAGGGGGGGGGGGGGGGCGGGGGTGCGGACCGCACCGGGTGACACCATTTAGGGGGGTGACACCAAGGCAAAAAATAGCAAAATATATAGAGAAAAACTTGAGGGGGGTGCAAATCGAAAGTTTGAAAGTTTGTCCCCGGGAAGGGTCGCAACGCCTCTAGTTGTATTTAACTTTAAAATTCCTTGCCGTATTTTCACATTTCTAAAACTGCTAAATGCTGCATAACTGAGTTAATAAATCTCAACTCAAGGATAAACATTTTTCCTTCAACTCTAATAACATCCCACAGTTGGATTCGAGATGATCGATCCCTTTATAAGACTATTCAGTTTAACTATATCACACTATAACTCATTGACCATTACATTGGGTAAATTGCTGTTATGTAAATATAGACAATTAAAGACAAATCGCATGGTTTAAGTAAAGCTTATCACAATATCGATGTGCAGTTAAAAACAAATAACTTACATAATGAGAAATGTGGAAAAGTCTCTGTAGTTATCACAAGAAGCAGTAGCGAAACTTACAGCAATGGATTCTGGCGATGGTTTAGTATCCGCTTGGCTTTATAACTAGTGTAAATAACTCGACGGATGTAAAATCTTTTGAGCAAAAGGCTGGGGAAACTGCATTCGTCACTTTAGCAAACATTAGATTAGCATACGTGTACGGCTAGGTTTTTTTTTTCTTTTCAGATGTTCTGTGTTTGTCTTCATTTCATTTTATGTGTCAGCACCGTTTCAAAAACGAAAGGATGTTTAAAATACTGTACTCCTAGTTGTATCTTATTTATTGTTAGTTCTTATAAATATTTAGATTAAACTATCTAAAAATGTAATGAAATTTGAGGTTTTACTTATAAAAAATGAATTCTACTATACTTTACATATAACTGTAACTTTATCTTAAAGATCGGTTTACAAATAATACTTTTGACATCTTACATACAATAGTTAAAAATCAACATACTGTAGTGTATCCAATAAATGAAAAAAAAAGAAACATACAGTAGAAAAACAGAGATACTTTTGCATAGTGTGAGAAACAAAAGAAAAAGAAATAATATCAAATCAACGGGGGGATATTATGAGAGTGATTGAGAAAGCTAAAGGTCGATAGAAAATTGAAAAAAAAAGGTGTCGATCGTCAAAGCCGATGCTCTATTTTACAATTATCAAGAAGAAAGACCCGAGGAAAAGGAGGTAGAAAATTTGGCAATTTACATTTTTTTTTAAAAATCAAATCTTTACTTTAAACATCTGTGTATTGTCATGAATAATTATATATTTTACTCTGATAATGGCTGGATATTCTTCTTGCCTCTACCCGTATAATCCATTATTATTTATCCCGGGTATTGGTTAGAAAATACGTTTTAACTCATTCTTACTGTATTTGGAAATTATTAGCTAACACTAATACGTACTTCATTCGAAATGTACTGTCATATTCTACCCTTTATTCGGTCGTGTATTACGTTGATCCTATTTTACCAAATCCACGCCTCACAAAGATAACACACAAAATATATTTTATTGATAAAAAAACGTATTTTTGCATAGCAAAGTTAAATATTAATTGACTAAACTACTACAAAATTTAAAAAAATATTGAATAAAATGTATACATGTCACGTGGATGTTCGAATATTTAATACGACACTATGTCTACAAACATTATACATCACACATAAAACTCATAAGAATTATGTTAAGTATGATGATTAAAATTATTTAGATATCCAACAGTTGATTTCAATAGCGATTAGGCTATCTCTGCTGAAAAACAAACAAAATTAAATAAAAACTAATTTTATTTTTGTATTTTAATGATATTCTAAGGATTTGTTTGTAAAAAAAAACACATTTATCCGAACACTAATTTAAAGACCCTACTTATATTACGTAATATTACGTATGGGGTGGTTTATCATCCTTGTTGTATTGGTACTAGGGTGACACATAGAAAAGTAATATGTCATTGCATATGAATGTCTTTAGTATTATTTCGTTTTTGCCAAATGTCCACTTTATACATGTTAAATGAATATGTTACACCAAGAGCCACTAAAATTGTTTTCATAAAACCCAGTATTGGTTTTGACAGCTTTGTTAGTGCGTTAAAAAGTGTGTATAAAATGACATATTTATGTGTTATATAACACTATCACAATTTTAAGTGTAAATTACCTACTATAAAATAAATCAGTTATAACGTTGTTACTTTCTGAATATTATCTTCAACTGTACTTTTTAGTACAGCTTCCTGTTTCTGAGTGTTTAAATATGATGAAAACATAACTTGCTCTATGCACAATCATAGGTGTGAATTTATGTATAATTTTAAAAAAAACTATTGATATATATATCCACTTAACTAAGCTTTTTAAAAATGTAATTCAATTATATAATCTAAGTGACTTTGATCAATAAAATATTTTAATTGTTTATATGAAATTTTAAAAGTAGGTTGTTAGGAATACAATTCATTTGATTACTTATTTCACCTTTAGGTATGTGTAATACTAACTATTTGTTAAATGACACTTCTATAAAATCTCCATCTTTTAGTACTTCAATTTCTGGCGTTTCTTCATTTTTTTGGGGTCTGCCATTAAATGGAAACCTCAGCTTGTTTACGTCCTTCCCGTAATGATCGCAATAAGCTCTGATAAAATCAATCAGTTTTCCTTGTCTGTCTAGCTTCAAGCTAATGTATCTGTTCGTCCTGTTTCTTGCACAACAGTTGTTCAAAATTCGTTTGGATCGTTTACGGTAGTCCCATCAAGTTGAGCTGGATAAAAATAATGAAACCATTAAAGTCTATTAACGTTTGGTGAGAGAAAAAATAAAAAAAATTAAACAGACTTACAATAATAAGTTGTACATCAACTGAAACATATATTTGGATTACACCATATGTTAAAAACAAGTATAGAAATATTGTGGTTAGATTATTAGTGTGTCCTATAAATCGAAGCATTTTTTTATAAACCTTATTGGGGGAGATGGGATGCATTTATTAATCTTTACAAGATTAAATTGAGAAATTATTCGTTTTAACTAAGTAACATTTATATCATGAAACGCTTTATGATATTTGTTTATTATGTCCTCTATTTTATTTATTAGCTCACTGTAGCAAATAGTTTGTGTCCAATTTAAAATATGATTTTACTGTACAAATTAATTACACGTGGCTTGATTTAAGTAAAATTATTATTAATTAGATCATTTTTATCTTTTAATTTTCCTTACAAACACTGATAATCAAGACGTAATAAAAACTAGTACATACAATATGTATTTGCTAGCAGTTAGATATAAACCCGAAATATAATTAAATTTAACATTTAAAAAAACAAACATTCAACCTTTATGTATATACAGCCTAAATCTTACCTGTCAAGCTGCTAATTTGGTTCAATAATTCCTGTTCTTTCTTGGCTTGCAAATCTGATAAGGACTTGAGCAGGGTCTGTATTTGCTGAGTGTGATCTTTTCGCAAGTTTTCCATGTTTTCGTTCATCTTTTTATCACTCTCTTCTTTCAGTTCTTTGAATTGTTTATTGTGTTCCTCCAATCTTCGTTGCTCGCGATCCTTGGCATACTTTTCATTTTCAAGCATCACTTGACGGAGAACATTTTTTTCCTCTTCGGCAGCAGTTTTTAATTGTTCCAACAGATTTATTTTTTCCTCCGCTTGTTTCCGTTTTATCTCATTTGCCTCTAAAAGTTGCAATTTACTTTTCATAGCCTCATTTTTTGTACAAATTAGAATCAAGGTGTATTCATTATGAGGTTGGTGAAATGAGAAGTGATTTTAAATAGTGATAAGATATTTTTTTTTAAAATTAAGTTTTATAAAATGACTTTCGGTAGTCATTTACTTCATATTTATTTTGCGTTCATCGGAGTACATATTTAAAGGGTTTAATATAAATTTTGCTAATTATAGAGACGTCGAATCTGTAAAATTTCGTATATTTTGTAGAGCTAAATGGTAGAAAGAAAAAAAAATATTTCTGCTACAAAAAAAAATTGAGATTTTATACAGAGGGTAGCTAAATAATCATTTCTCAAGACCTACGTTTCTGTAAAATCTGTATGTCTTTTTAGAGAGTAATTGTTGTTACCTGTAAGTGTTATGTTGTAATGCCAAATCCCTATGGAGACGGCAGTTGTCACTGAAGAAATGATAATCCTGTCATACCAAACAGCTACTAACATACAAGTTGTCAACAAAGAGCCTAATATAATTTTATCATTTTTTTTTCATTTCTTAGATCCTTCGGGACTTTGAAAAAAAAATTTTCTGAAAAGAAAACAAACAAACAAGCAAGAAATTAAATAGTGATAGGCAGAGGGGGGGGGGGGCGGGGTGTGCGGACCGCACCGGTGACACCATTTGGGGGGGGGGGGGAGGTGACACCAAGGCATAAAATAGCAAAATATATAGATAAAAATTTGAGGGGGAGGGGGTGTAAGTCGAGAGTTTGAAGTGGGGTGCAAATCGCTACGCCTCTGGGGGGTGACACGATTAAGTGCCGCACCGGGTGACACCCGACCTCGCTACGCCACTGGTGATAGGGGTCGTCCAACAAATTGTTGTGAAAAATGACGAGGAGAGGATGGAGGTTGACATTGTGTTGTGTGGGAAAAGCATCCAGAATATGTGAATGTGCTACACAACATGTCTCTAGACATTTTAACTCATTATTTATGCTCATATACTTGCCCCGTAGACCGTCACGTTTGAGGGGGAACTTTACTTACTACTTACTATCAGAGGCGTAGCGAGGGGGGGGGGGGGGGGGTCGGGGGGTGCGGACCGCACCGGGTGACACCATTTAGGGGGTGACACCAAGGCAAAAAAATAGCAAAATATATAGAGAAAAACTTGAGGGGGGGTGCAAATCGAAAGTTTGAGGGGGGGGGGGGGGGGGTTGCAAATCGAAAACTTGAGGGAGGTGCAAATCGAAAATTTGTCCCCGGGAAGGGTCGCTACGCCTCTGGGGGATGACACCATTAAGTGCCGCACCGGGTGACACCCGACCTCGCTACGCCACTGCTTACTATGCATACTCATTGAAAATATACATTGAAGCTAAAAACGTCTTACGGAATAATTACCTGGTTGTTTTATTCGTCTCAGACATGTAATTTACAGCATTATTTTGCTTTGGCTCTTAGTTCGCTTTAGTATTAATTATTATCATTAGCTCGCGAGTACTGATACAGATTTACAACAGTAATAGGCTTTCTTCTTTTAAACATCTATTTTCGTGCGTTAAAATGGTTTATTTATACATAGTTCAAATGTCTTAGGCTAGATTAATATGTACAACTAGCTTATGTATCATTTTGTATCAACGTCTTTGCTTATTTAATATTTTTGTGATAAATGTACCAGATATGAAAACCTAAGTTAGGTCCAAAGTTGTACCAAAGTACTGTCGAAGTTTTTGGCCAACTATTCCAAGAATAAATGTACTGTGAAAATAAAACCATTTCATTACCACAAATATTTTAATTGGTGGGGGGGGGGGTACCTGTATGTTTTTGGTTCATCATTTAATTAACCCCTCCCCCCCCCCCCCTAAATATTTAAAAAGAAAAATAGTTGATTGTTTTACAAACATACAATTACTAGTCTAGCATCTATCTTTTGGTTAGTTACGAAAATGACGACATTCAAGATTTGGAATATTGAAACGATGCTTTTTATGAAACGTTTTTTTTTCAGTATGTGTAAGCTTATTTTACAAATGGTATTATCTAAAATATATAACCCTTGGCTTAACACTGACACTACAGTTGGTCTAACGTTAATACTAAATGCAAAACTTAAGTTCATTGAAAGTTCGAAAAATGTTAATCGTAAACATATTACCCTACTAGAAATATTGTACGTTTTTGCATACACGATAGAGAAAGATGTTATTTTGCGTAGATGTAAAACAATGGGCTGATTAATTACATCTCTATAGTTGTACTTACATGTATGTTTTCTTAGGTTTAGTGTGTCTTAGTATGTCTTAGAATATGCTGTGCTGTATGTTTCAAACTGAAACCTTTAGCACAAACAAGTTCAAACTGATTACCCTAGATCTAGCTAGAATTATTGACAACGAAATCGAAATTAAATCATACATTTATTAATAGCTTTCTAAATTTCCGATATTATCTTATGGCTTGTACTTTAATGTCCGTTAAATTTGTATGTGTTTACGTGTAGGTTTTATTTCTCACATCATAACTGTTTTAATTAAAAACATAATTAAAATTCTCAGATAACAGAACAATGCTAGTTTACCCAGATAATGATGTTTTAGAGGACTGCCACATACTGTTAATTATCAGAGGTCTAACACATCGCAGTTGTACCTTCGTTATCAAAAGAGATTAATGTCTTCGGAGACTTGTAAGGCACACACTGTCTTATTATGGAATGTGAAAGTTTCAGGGTCGATAGTTAACAAACCAATGTTGAACATAATGTTTGAATACAAGAGCATACGTCTTCTAACCCAAACGTCTAGAGTTCAAATCGGGTTCGTGTCCTTAGAACGTCCATAAGTCCACCAAATTCTGATGGTTATCTAACTCACCTTAGGGAAAGTAGAGACGGTTGGACATGTTGTTGAATACGATCCCTTCATATTCTAAGCTCATTGAAACACGTCAGCCCTACTTAACCTTCCCATTGCACCTTCAAGTTAGGAAAGGTAATTTACAGTATGTATTTAACAATTCTACCAGCTCTGTTGGGTAAAACTGTTTCTAGTGTCGAGGTAAAAGAACACTGTTCGTGGCTATTTTTTTAAACCTCAAGTTATAGAAATCCAGTCTGCTCCTCTTTCAAACAAACCCCTCAATAATATTTAACGCCTCTTCATTTCCTATGGGGTCCATTTCTATGACGTAATTGATGTTGTCAACAGTCCCCCACACTTCATTTTGTCACGTCACTTGTCTCCAATATGCATTGATTAGCGTTAGTGCATGATCGGTGTCTTTCAAGGAGTTTCTCTTAAAAACGTCTTTATAAAGCCATGTTTTGCTCACGTCTCTGTACCCCCCTTCCATATTTCTCACCCGCACACAAAAGACTTTACAAACATGTCAAAGATTAAAATGTAGAATTTTCTTTACAGTGCATTTAAATTTTAATTACACGCTTTAAAGTTAAAGGCAATTTTTGCTTTGAGTATTCTTTGAGTATTTCGATTTGCACCCCCCCCCCCTCCTCAAACTATTTATAATGCAAAAATGCAGCTAAAATGACATTTTAATTTGTTTTTACAACCCATTTTGGCGCCACCTAAGGTCGGCGCCCAGGGACATATGTACCCCCCTGCCCCCCCCCCCCCCCCATCGCTACACCTCTGCCTGCAGTGCACAAGATCCCCAACACGGTAGAACAGAAATGTGTGGAAACTTGTTCCGGATGCAAACTCCAAAACTTCTGATGTGTAAACACTCCATTAAGAAAATATCACAGAGCCTAAACAATATGGCAACATACCAAAAAATTAGGCTACAGAAACATTTTAGAAATGTTTATTTTGATATTTTCTTTCAAATACATCCTTGTCTAAAAGATAAAAAATGTTTCTTTACTGTAAATGACAAGCAATATTTTGTTTATAACAATATTTATGCACAATACTCAGCGTAAGATTAATCATGTCTATTTTATCAATTCCAAGTTTAAGCAATGTGAACAAATTTTATGGACAGATCTACTACATCAACTTTTATAATTAAAATTAAAATCAACCATAATGTAAAGTTTTAAATAACATGAATTAAATCACTGGTTATGAAATAATTAATTACAATTTAAAAAAAAAATAACTATTTTGGGGTCAAATAAGCTTAACAAAAGTAGTAAAAATAGTAAAAGAAAAACTGTTTAAATCATACCAATTTAGTTTTGTTTTATATTAGTAAAATAGTTCCGAGACAACGAGGACATTGAAAAAATACAATTATTTTACTAAAACAGCAGTAATGGTTTTTATTTTTATATTTATAGACATTTATACTTTGAATTATTCACCAATAACAACTTTACGATGCTGCTAATGAGACGGTTAAAGAGTAATTATTTCCTACGAGGTTTATCTTTCTCGGTCTTGGCACTTTTGGAGCTGGGAAAAAATGAGGAAAACGAATAGACCTCCCCGCTATAGTTCTCTTCTCCATTTTCTCCTGCGTGGGTATGTAGGTACCACCCGTTATACCCCATTACAAAAACTGGGGCGCCGCTGCTGCCTGGGCAGGTGGGTGCTGTGTAGGAATACCTGGTAAAGGTCATGTCACGGTTCCAGGTTTTCTCTTTATTGACATGACCTACAGAGACCTTCTTAGACTTGCCGTGTGGATAGGATACAATGATGACGATATTTTCTTCTTGCGCGATTTTATTCGGAATGTACGTGATCTTGGCGTTTCTGTACTCATCTTGGTACTCATCCGTCATCTGACGGAGCATGTCGATGAGCTTCAGGTCGTGCGTGACGCACACGCACTCGCACCTGTCTCCGTCTGCACTTTCGCTGGTCCAATGAAAACCTTCCAAAGTGTACCTCGTGCCGTCTTCCCAATCGAGAAATACCTCCGTGTGTTTCGCCTCATCGCCGTCATACACCAGGTGTATGGCTGTCACCACACTCACCTCCCCCCATTCTTTCACCGGTTTCCCTGTTTTTTTTACAGAGATCACACGGACAGGTTCTGCTAGGGCTTCCCTCCTGTTTCAGCTCATCCTTCACAACCGCATTGTCTATTCTACCGGTCCCGTACCTGACCAGCGAAGCTCCTCTCTTGGTGTAGAAAGGGTAATCCCCTGTATAAAAAGCAGAGCGTTTTGGTCTGTTATTGCTGATGTAACTGACCTTCAACTTGACCGTAAGAGCTGCCAAAGACTTGACCATGCTTAACATGGTTCTATCTTTATAACGTTCAGGGAGATTATCGAAAGCCGAAAACTTTAAAGGGTATGTATTTCTCATGTCCTGGGTTCTTCTTACATTCGGTTTCATGCTTGTCTAAATCAGCTTCACCTTCGTAACAGACTTCAGTTTCATGACGACCTGTTTGAGTTATGTTAAAATAAACACAAATTGATTAAAATATGAAGCACATATTATATAATACAATTGCAGGATATATTGTTACCCCCCATACCTAACTCATTAAATTGTGTGCCTTTACCACTGACTACCCCTACACATTCCATTACATATATGAACATCTTTTCAGCCTTCTTAACACAACACTAGTTAATTTAGTACAACAAAAAAATATTTTAAAGAAATCATAAATATCACGTTCATTTCAAGTATCGGTGAATTATAAAAAAAGATATGTAATTACGTCTTATTTTTATTTTGAAATTTAAAAACTATGATACCCTGCCATGTCTACTAATAGGCTACACTCTGTATGTTGAAATGTTCGCAAAAAGGTAAGCAAATGTCCTATTGTATGTTATTTTTTTATACCACCATTCCATATTATATCAAGTTTCTTCGTTTTATACAAGGAGTGCACGACAAATAAAAAAAAGTTTAATACAGCGAGAATTTTACAGGCAGGGATATTTAAAATAATCATACTCTAAATTTAAAGATTAACAAACTACAATAGATCTTTTAACACTGTTCATGACAGTAAATTGTTAATGATTTATGCGACTCATTTAACACACTACATGGTACAACATTGCTCGGGGAAGAGAACGGATACCAATTAAACTTGAGGTAGGTGTTGCTGATTATTTACCTCGTTTAATGTCGGCGTCGTCTGCTGCTGGTGCTTGGTGCTGCCATTTTGATGTCTGGTGTTGTTGATATCTGTTAAATTCTACTAGGAAAATACACAACATAAATTATAGTCGTCTTTAAGAGATTTAAAGCATTATACAACAGAACAAAATTTAAATTTTTAAGAGATTTAAAACCATTATTGAAAAGTAAGTAAAATATATAAACCGTATGTTGTACTTATATGATGGATTTATGTAAATTTTCGAGACGATATCTTATAGCATACAGTTATATTACAAAGCTAACAAACAATATTATCTAATTATGTAATGAGTGGGACGGCGTGGCCTAATGGTAGCGCATACGACAACAAATCCGATAATCTCGGTGTTCGAATCTAGGGTGTGCGTCTGTAGAGTCCACCCAGCTATGATGGGTACCTCACTCACTTTAGGGAATGTTAAGTCGGCCTAAGTCATTGAACTCTATTTCACATGTTCAATGGACCATACGATTTAAAAACTGTACTTTACTCTCATATAAAATAGAACTTTATTTTTATTTTCATCTTATTCCAGAAAGTGAAAATACAGAAAGAAAAATATCTCTAGAATTAATGTTACTACACGTTTTGACATAGTAAGATATTTTAGAATATACTTACGTCTAGTGAAACGGTGGAAACTATCTAGTTTCTGAAGAGATCAGTACAAACTTCAGGCAAATCTGGTCGATGGTGTAGTGAAAGGTGCAACAAGCTTTATAGAACTGATGCACACAAGTTAATAGAAAAAAAGACGTAGGGAAATACAACACCTGGCATTTGAGCAAACATCGTATTCACATCCGTGTACCGGAGAAGGTTTTCCCAGATTTTATTTCATCTCTGTCCTGTGTATCTCTATACAGGAGGCTGCTTTAAACATGGGCCTACATTAGTAGGCTACAGAACGAGGACTCAAAGTATTGACGTAAAATTGTTTTTCTTGAAAAATTTCAAACTCTGATGAATAAATGAGTTATGTAAAGAATTATTACTAATGCAGATATATATATATATATATATATATATATATATATATATATATATATATTATATATATATATATATATATACATATATGTAATATATACATGTCACAATTGTCTTAGTGATGCCTAGCAAGTGGTATTAGTCAGAGTTTCTTCCAGGCTATCTCTTCGGGGGGTGGGGGGGGGGGGCTATATCGCCCCCCCCCCCCCCCCGAACGAAATGAAATTTATATAATTTATATAGAAAATATATACTTTTAACAGTGTCGCCCCCCCCCCCCGAAGAAAGTCTACCGCCCCCCCCCCCGAAAATTTCAAGTGCCCCCCCCCCCCCCGGAGAAAAAAGTCTGGATGAAACACTGGTATTAGTATTTATGAAAGATCGAATAAAGTAATAAAGTACTACATATTTTAGTTATGGAAATCGAATAGTCCTGGTAGGTGTTGTATATGTTATATCTGCAACCATAGTATCTTCTTCTTCTTCTTCGTTCTTAATTTTTGAATATGGTGGAGGATTCAGACAACAAGTCCAACTTCATGGACAAAACCGGACTGTGGTTTCCAGTTTGTCAGGTGTCCCATATAATTTTTCCCTGAGTGGGGTGGGCTGGGGCCAGTGTCTGCCTCTTGCCTGGCCATACAGGAGTACAATCCTGGAGTACGTGCTCCGTGTTTTCCGGGGCCTTGCCACAAGGGCACATTTCGCTACACCCAACCTTCAGTTTTTTTGTGCATGTGTTGATTTAGTCTGTTGTGGCCTGTTCTAAGTCGAAAGATTATGTATTGTTGTTTTCGTGTTAAATTGTAATAGCCGTCGTCTTTAATGTAGTGAGGGTGTGTGACAGACCACATTTGCGTTTGTTTGTGTTTAATTATTCTTTTTATTTCTTTTGGGTGTAGCGAAATTTTCCGGTTGTGGTTTCTTTCCCCCAATTTTTGCCAGCTGGTCTGCGATCTCGTTACCCTGGATCTGGCAGTGGGCCCGGGATCCACTGCAGCACAATTCTGCTGCAGGTATTTTTTAGCCTCTCTAGTGCTGTCATGAGTGTTTGAATATAGGACTCCGGATTTTGTAGGGATTGCAGGACTGATTTTGGCATCTGTAAGAATAAAATCTGACTATTCGGTGATTCAGGGTGTTCTGACAGGAGGTTTGCTGCGTGTTCTAAAGCTTCTTTTTCTGCCCTAAAATTGTCGGATAGGCTGCCTGTGGCTATTGCCTTTTCCAGACTTTTTCCGCTTGGCCATTCAATAAGGATGCCAGCCCCGCCGTTTTTTGTGGCATCTTCAGCTGAGCCATCTGTGAAAAACTCTAATCCAGGTATTGCTGGGGTACTGATCCTTAATGTGTTTATTTGTTATTTTCTTAAGTTCTTCTAGATCATAGTCAGATTTTTTTCCTATGGTGTCTATTGAGTCAATAATGGTTAAGTGACAGTGGGAGATCCAAGGCGGGAGAGGTTTTGAGTTTTTTATTGCTTCAGGAATGATTATTTTCGATTTCATATTTCTTTTTCAGATTCTTTGCTTCTTTGATGAAACTTGTTCTTTGTAGTCTGGTTGATGGACTGGGTTTTCTGGAGTTTTTGTTTTAGGTTATGGTTTTCCAGTGCCTCTAGCTTTGTGTAATGAGTGAGGATTTTTGATTCTCTTCTTTCTTCTATTGAGCTAAGAAGCGGCTATTTCCTCCATAGCTTTTATGGGTGTTGTTTTCATGGCTCCTGTCATTATTCTCAAACCAATGTTCTGAACTTTGTCAATTTTGCTAATATTTGTTTTTGCTGCTGGAGCCCCAAGCCGAAGCACCATATTCTAACGTAGGTCTCACATAGCTGGTGTAGGTTTTTTTCCAGGATGTGGTGATTTGCTCCCCAGGTCTGTTCCTGCCAGTTTCCTCATTATAAGTCGTTTAGAAATTTGAAAGGCAATAAATATTGCTACACTGACATCAGCGGGCACAATATTTGCCATTTTTATTTGTAAACCAGCTTCAGAAGATACAGAGATTGGGAAGTATCTGAAAACATAGAGCAGAAGATGGAGATGGTAATCATCGAAAGAAAGAGAGAGAGAGAGAGAGAGAGAGAGAGAGAGAGAGAGAGAGAACGTAACAGGGAAAAAAGGAGAAACAAATTTGCTCAGCTTCCATTTTCTACTGGAATTATCTTAACAATTCTAGTGCTCAATAACTAAAGCAAAACGTATGTGTAGGGGGTTCCAATTCTCATTTGTAGAAAAGGATAAATAGCCCAACAACTTCAATACTAA